GTTTGCTTCTAGATTTCTAACCACCTAAAGCTCCTCTTGCTACTTCAGCTACTTGGAATGCTCAGCCCCAGTCCTCAATGTCACCAGTCATCCCCCTTTAATCCAGCACTTGGAGGATAAAAGCAGGAGGATCAGAGAAGTTCAGTGCCATCCTCAGCTACACAGTAAGTTTAATGAGGTCCTGTCTAAATTCATTAATTAAAAAGTGGACAGTGGTGGTGCATGCCTTTAATACCAGCACCCTAGGAGGCAGAGGCAGGTGGATCTCTGTGAGTTTGAAGCCAGCCTGCTCTACAGAGTGAGTTCCAGGACAGCCAGGGTAGTTATTGCAGATAAACCCTGTCTCAAAAACAAAACAAAAAACTAAAAGAGAAAAAAGGTCTTTTACAAATGGAAGACCTGGTAACCTGAATTCAAGTCCATGACTGGAATAAAGGTGGAGAAAGCAGACTTCACTGAATTGTCCTCTGACCTCCACACATGTGCTCTGGCTATCCTGGAATTCACTTTGTAGACTGGACTGGCCTCAGACTCACAAAGATCATCTGCCTTTACTTCCCTAATGCTGGTGTTAAAGGCATGCACCACCATATCTGGCTTAATATTTGTATTTTTTTTATGTATATGGGTGCTGTGCCAGCGTTTATATCTAGGCAACACATGAATGATACCTAGTGCCCAGAGAGACCGGAAGAGAACATCAGATGACCTGGAATTGGCATTACACATAGTTGTAAGCCATGTAGGTGTTGGGAATCAAATCTGGATTCACTGGAAGAGCAGCCAGTGTTCTTAACCACTGAGCCATATCTCCAACCATAATTTATTTTGTAAAAAACAAAACAAAACAAACAGCAACAACAAGAACACTGCTGGGGCTGGAGAGATGGCTGAGTGGGTAAAGTGTTTGGAGCTCCAGTGCCCATGTAAAAGCTAAGTGTGGTAGCACATGCCTGTAGCTCCTCCACTAGGGACACAGACAGAAGGACTCTTGTGCTCTCCAGCCATCTAGTCTAACTTAAACCGTGAACCCCAGATTCAATAAGAGATACTGACTCAGCTAGGCGTTGGTGGCACACGCCTTTAATCCCAGCACTCGGGAGGCAGAGGCAGGCAGATCTCTGTGAGTTCGAGGCCAGCCTGGTCTACAAAGTGAGTTCCAGGACAGCCTCCAAAGCCACAGAGAAACCCTGTCTCGAAAAACCAAAAAAAAAAAAAAAAAAAAAAAAGAGATCCTGACTCAAAATAAGGTGAGGAGAGCCAAGCTCTGGCCTCCCCATGTGCTCACTTGGGTGCATATACCTTAACATACACAGATGCATTGCAGGAGGAGGGAGAGGGGAGGAGAGAGAAGAAAAAAATAATTACTGGTTCAGCTTTATGGAGTGTTTTCATGTTTCCCAAAACAGCCATCACATGTTGATGGTTGCAGCATTTGTGTTGAGTTTCTGGAGAGCTATAGAAACAGTTTCTCTCTATGGCTTCTAACATTCTGGATAGCACCAGTCATATTACACTTGTATGCACTGTGCATTTACACATGACTTCGCCACAAGGTGTATGGCTTTGTGGTCATCTGAAGCAGAAGGTGGTATGCATTTTGCATGATCACCAAGTAGTTGCTGATCTTTTTTTCCCCCTAATTTAAAACTTTTTCTCATTTTCTTCACTGTTACATTTCCTTTTCTGTTTTTCTTGTTATTTACTTCCCAATTTTTGTGTATATACATACACACATATGTATACATATATAATATTGCTGGTGGTACTTTTTGTTTGTTTGTTTGTTTAGTTTTTCGAGACAGGGTTTCTCTGTATTGCTTTGGAGCTTGTCCTGGAACTCACTCGGTAGACCAGGCTGGTCTCGAACTCACAGAGATCCGCTGGGATTAAAGGTGTGTGCCACCAACACCCGGCTTGTTTTTTTTTTTTTTTTGTAGTTGGCATTTTCTTTGGGCCACCAACCAGCTCCCATATAAAGACACAGAGACTCATTGTTAATTATGAATGTATGAATGCTTGTCCCACTAGATTTTATTACTTAATTTACCCTGTTTCTATTCATCTGTGTTTTGCCTCGGGTCTTTTAACCTTTTTTTTCATTCTGTACATCCTTCTTTTCTGCTTTCTTTGTGTCTGGCTGGCTGGTCCCTGGTGTCTCCCTGGAATCTCTTTCTCTTTCTTCCCTCCCTGAAGTCCTACCTATACTTCCTGTCTAGCTATTAACTGTTCAGCTTTTTATTAAAACAATCACAATGACATATCTTTACACATGTAATCAAATATCTTGCAACATTTCCCCCCTTTTAAAAAAAATACTTTATTTATTTATTGTGCATACAGCCTTTTGTCTGCAGGCCAGCAGAGGGTACCAGCTCTCATTCAAGGTGGTTGTGAGCTACCACGTGGTTGCCAGGAATTGAACTCAGGACCTCTGGAAGAACAGTGCTCTTAACCGATGAGCCATCTCTCTAACCCCATTTCCCCCTTTTATTTGAGTAAAAAAGAAAGGGTTTTAACTTTAGTAAAGCTATGTACAATAAAAACAACGATCAAGTAAGAATTACATTTACAATATGTAGTCCATTGAGTGGAAATACTACATTATCTATCCTATTTTGGTGAGTCCAAGGTTTTGTACTAAATCTAAAAATATCTTTTTAAACCTTAAAACATTTTTGAAAATATGTGCCTAATAACAGAAAAGGAAATTGTGGCACCATCATTCTATGAATATAACCACTAGAAATCAAGTACCTGGCCTGGAGGCATGGCTTAGTAGAATAGCATATGCCTATCCTTCCTAAGGACAGGAGAGCATACAGGAACAAAACCCACTGTGACTGGTTTAATAAAAAACTGAATGTTCAATAGCTAGGCAGGAGGTATAGGTGGGACTTCTAGGAGGGGAGAGGGAAGAAAGAGAAAGAGATGACAGGGAGATGCCGGAAGCCAGCAGCTAGCAATGAAGGAAGCAGGAAAGTAGGACATACAGAATGAAGGAAAGTAAAAATGTCCCAAGGCAAAACATAGATGAATAGAAACAGGAATAAGCCTAAGCTAAAACCAAGCATTCATAATTAATAATATGTCTCTATGTCTTTATTTGGGAGTTGGTTGGCTGCCCAAAGGAAATGCCAACTACAACTGGTACCCAAAGCGAGGCACGAATTACCACATAGGGCCTGAGGAAGATGAAAAAAGAAAACAGAACACAGGTATGCTCCTTTAAGAGGTGTTGCTATGCAGCAGAGAGCTTGAGCATGCTAAGTAAAAACAGCAAGCTAAGAAGAAACACCTGCCACAGTGTGGGCACCAACTTCCCGGAGCTGAGGCAGTTAAATGCAGCTCTGTTTAAATGCAGCTCCAAGTTAAATGCACCTCTTGGGTAGGCCTGTGGGCTTAAGGCTTGGCTCTCATGGACCAAAGGAGGATGCCGAGACAGTCATCAGAGCTGCATGGCAGAGGGCCTAGCTACCAATTTGCAGTTTAAGGTTTGGTTCATGAAATCAGAAAATGCTACAAGTGCACAGTAAAATAGGTTCAGACCAAAAACACCTTTAAACAGATTACAGTATGTGTAGGTGCTTAAGAAAGAAAAGAAGGCTGGGTGGTGGTGGCGCACGCCTTTAATCCCAGCACTCTGGAGGCAGAGGCAGGCGGATCTCTATGATTTCGAGGCCAGGCAAAACAATACAGAGAGGGGGCTGGAGAGATGGCTCAGAGGTTAAGAGTACTGACTGCTCTTCCAGAGGTCCTGAGTTCAATTCCCAGCAACCACATGGTGGCTCACAACCATCTACAATTCAATCTGGTACCCTATTCCAGTATGTAGGTAGAACACTGTATATGTAATAAAGAAATAAGATCTTAAAAAAAAAAAACAATACAGAGAAACCCTGTCTCGTAAACCCCCCCCAAAAAATAATAATAATTAAGTAAAGTCTTTAAAGAAAGAGTAAAGTAATATAAAAAGAAAAAGCCATGTAAAGATAGGAAATACCCATGGAATCTGGATTCTGCATGGTGTTTTGTTGATTTTGAATGTTTTGAATGCTGATGAGTGAACAGCAGCCAATGAGAGACATGGGATTGAAAAAGAAATTGCTGAATTAAACCAGCCTAGACACTTTAGGAATGTCTCAACTTTAAAATGGAATTCAGAAAATACATTGTTTTGCAGAAGAGGTTATGCTTTTGTTTCCACAGCAAATGAAAGGCTGTGGATTCCTTCCAAATTACTAGAGACCAGATTTGATTGGGGGAGACCCCCTGAAAATAGTGACTACAAACACAAAGAAATAAACTAGAAAAACTACATGACATGTAGTTTTGACATGGGAACAGCTCTGAGACTGAATGAGACAAGACACATCTTGTTGGTTACAGAGTCCTCATGACTTATCATTACATGCCATCCTTTCATATGGGATGGATAGAGGTTTGGATATGCAGTTCAAACATACTTGACAAATGTTTTTTACTTGCTCAAACACAAAACAACAGTAAAACAAGAAATTTATGACATTCTAAGCAAAGGAAAACTTTCCAAAGTGAGTACAGCACTAATTCTTAAAAATATTGGTTAAAGCTGGGCAGTTGTAGTGCATACCTTTACTCCCAGCACTTAGGAGGCAGATCTCTGTGAGTTGGACACCAGCCTGACAATTCCAGGACAGTCAGGGCAACACAAAGAGAAACCTTGTTGCGAGATATTTGATTATACTTGAAAGATTAATTTATTAATTAGCTAATCAATTAATTAAACCAGCACTGGAATGAGCATCTTTATTGCTAAAGTCTCCTCATTTTTAGAATGTGTTCATAGGTTAGGTTGCCCTTTGGCTGGATGAATTACACCAACTAAGTGAAACAAATAAGCCTCCAGAGATCTAAGGGACCCTTTCACCTTTGTTGAGTCTCCTACTCCTTAACAACACCAGTTCAAGGTGAAAATGTCCCCCATATTCTGATGGCATTTTTCTCTCCTTCTCTCTTAGCTTCCACTGCAGTTCCAAAGACTTGGACATCTAGTGGCTGTGATGGCACTGCTGTGTGGTGACCCACTGAAAGAGGTGGCTGAAGAGGCTGCAGAGGGAACACATTACCTGCTTCATATCACGCTGAAACTGAAGTGTAAGACACTCTGGAGCACAGGTGTAATCCAATCTCTAGCGCAGCCGTTGGCACCATCCCTCCTCTTCCCCTCCGTCCCACGCTAACTGTGGCGGTTTGAATAAGAATGGCCCCAACAGGCTCATATTATTTGAATGCATAGTGTCTTAGTTAGGGTTTCTATTGCTGTGAGGAGAAACCACTACCATGGCAACTCTTATAAAGGAAAACATAATTGGGGTGGCTCACTTACAGTTCAGAGGTTTAGTCCATTATAGTCATGGTGGGAAATAAGGCAGCATGAAGACAGAGATGGTGCTGGAGCTGAGAGTCCATCTTGATCCAAAGGCAACAGGAAGTGAACTGTCTTAACTGGGCATGACTTGAACATATAAGAGACCTCAAAGTTTGCCTCCACAGTGACAAACTTCCTCAAACAAGACCGCATCTACTTCAACAATGCCATACCTCGTAATAGTACTCCCCTTTGGGACCATTTTCTTTCAGACCACAACATTCTTCTCCTTGTCCCCCATAAGCTTGTAACAATAGCATAATACAAAACACATTCAGTCCAACTTCAAAAGTACCATCGTCTATAACAGTCTTAAACTTGTTTAAAAATCTAAATAAAGCCGGGTGGTGGTGGCACATGCCTTTAATCCCATCTTTCAGGAGGCAGAGGCAAGTGGATCTCTGTGAGTTCGAGACCAGCCTGGTCTACAATCGCTAGTTCCAGGACAGCCTCCAAAGCCACAGAAAAACCCTGCCTCGAAAAACCAAAAAAAAAAAAAAAAAAAGTCTAAATAAAATTCAAAGTTTCTTCTGAGATTCATGCAATCTCTTAACTGTAATCTCCTGTAAAATCAAAAAAGCTGATCACATACTTCCAACCTATGGTGGTATGGAATATACATTATTATTCCAAAACACATGGAAAGGAGCATAGCAAGAAAATACTAGACAAAAGCAAGACGAAAACCAGCTGGGCAAACTCCAAACTCTGTATCTCCTGTCTGATGTTAAAATACTCTTCTGATCTCCAACTGCAGCTTTGTAGACTGCAACGTATTCTTCTTGGCTGGTTGAACACTCTGTTAGCAGCTCTCCTCAGCAGGTATCCCATGGCTCTGGCATCTTCAACATCATGGTGCCTCCAAGGCCATCCAGACTTCAACTTCACAGTTTTACACAACAATGGCCTCTCTAGGCCTCCACTCAGGAACTCCCCGACACATGCCTGGCCTTGGCTGCTTTCCTTAGTCACTCCTTGACTCTTAAAGCCAGAACTACGTGGCTGAAGCCGCCAAGTTCTGCTGCTTGCTGAGGCTGGAACATGGCCCCCTTGTTCAGTTACATCTTCATCAACTTGCTGCCTAAGCTTGGTTGTCCTTGAACTTGCTCTGCAGATGAGGCTGGCCTCACACTCAAAGATCTGCCAGCCTCTGCCTTCCCAGTGCTGGAATTAAAAGCATGCACTACCATACCTGGCTCTAAGATTTTCTCTACTTCCTTTTAACAACAAATTGGAAACTCAGCTGGGTGGGATCTTGCCCTGAGGTCACCACTCCCTTTAGTCTGTACCTTAACCTGTTTATCTCTTTGAACACAGGATTTAGCTCTATTCCACTTCCTGGTGTTTCTTTTTTCTCTTTTTTATATTTTGTAATTTACTCTGCTCAGCTTGCTCCTTTTCATTATAAATCTTCATTAGAGATACCACAAATAACCACACAATAGAGTCTATACCAGCCTGTTTTGAGATTTCTTCTGCCAATGCAATTAAATCCAAAACTCTTCACTTTAGCTTCAGACAGACTCTTTGGACAAAAGGCAGCTGCTTTCTTCACCAAAATAACACAAGAACTATTTGTAGGCAACATACTAAAATTCTTCTCCTCTAAAACTTCTTGAGCCAGTCCCCCACAGTTCAAATCATTCCCAGTACTGTTGTGCCCAAGTCACAAAGATCCTCAAAGAGACCAGGGAGACAGACTACCGATGTAAATGCACAAGGTTTATTGATTGTTCTAGACAGGGACCCTGTCTAGCAAGCCTCCAGAGAGGGTGAAGTTCCCTGTCTACTGCTAAGTTTTAAAGACAAAAGTTACAGGGTTACATCAGTAGGTACAGGTTGGTTTCTGATTGGTTGACATTTGAGGAACAATCAAGAAATTTTTCAAAGTCATGTTTTTGGCATGTAATACCTGTGTATCCATTTTTCTCATAGGTCGGTGCTGGGAGGGAATATTCTGTGGTTTCTATGGTTTGCAGGTGGTCTGTTTTACCAAAATTTTTCAGAATTGAATTTTCAGGAGACTACAAGGGAGTTTCTTTTGCTGTCAAACAGTCCCCAGGATCCAAGTATCTAGGAGGCTAGAGGGGGTTGGAACTCCTTTGTGTTCAGTTTTGGCCCCAGGCCTGTTGCATACAACATAGTCTCTAGGAGCAAAGGCTGGGGGAAGGGTTGATCTGGCGTTTTTTGACTCTTCAAGTACCAGTGTCTTCCATGCTCCTACTAGTATGGCCCATTAAGCAATATTTAAAGCATTCCACTGCTTTCCTCACCCAAGGTACAAAAGTTCAAATTCCTCCAAACAAAAGCATGACCTGGCCTATCATAGCAGTACCCAGTCCCTGATACCAATGTCTATCTTAGTTAGGGTTTTATTGCTGTGAAGAGACACCATGACCATGGCAACTCTTATAAAGGAAAATATTTAATTGGGGTGGCTCTCACTCCTTTTGGGGACCATTTTCTTTCAAACCACCATACTTAGTTACTATTTGAAAAGGATTAGGAGGTGTGGCCTTGTTGGAGTAGGTGTGGCCTTGTTTGGAAGAAGTGTCTCACTGGGGTTGGGCTTTGAGGTTTCAAGCCCCTGTCAAGTTCAGTCTATCACAGCACATGGATCAGGATATAGCACTTAGCTACTCCTCCAGCACTATGCCTGCATGCCTCTTGAGCTCCTGAAACTATGAACAAGTCCCCAATTAAATGCTTTCCTTTATAAGAGGTGCTTTGGTCATGTTGTCTCTTTACACAATAGCGACTAAGACACTGACTTCAACATTGGAACCATAACAGTGGCTTGGATCTGACACCACTCCCTCACCCCCCCACCCCCATCCCCTGGCCAGTGCCCACCATCTGTGTGGATGTGGAGTAACTACATATGTAGTCATAGAACAAATTTGAGTGATTGGTTTGGTCAGAAATTGGAGAGGTCCTTGCCATCATTTGGGCCTCCATGCTTTATTTATTCCGTAACTGTTCATTTAGAACTGGTTTGGGATTCAATAGTGTGCTGGCTAGTTTTATGTCAACTTTACATAAGCTAGAGTTATCTGAAAGGGGGGGAACACCAATTGAGAAATGCCTCCATAAGATTGGGCTGTAGGCAAACCTATACAGCATTTTCTTAATTAGTGATTCATATGGGAGTACCCAGGCCATTGTGGGTGTTCCCATCCCCGGGCAGGTGGTCCTGGATTCTATAAGAAAGCTGGCTGAGCAAGCCATGAGGAGAAAGCCAGTAAACAGCCCTCCTCTGTGGCCTCTGCATCAGCTCCTGCCTCCAGGTTCCTACCCTGCTTGTGTTCCTGCCCTGACTTCCTTCAGCGAGGGACTATGATGTGGAAGAGTGAGCCAGATAAACCCTTTCCTTCCCAACTTTGGTCATGCTTTGGTCATGGTATTTATTACAGCAATAGAAACACTAAGAGATATAGTAACTAGAGTACAAAGGCTCCTAATCTTTATATCAGTCTAGTGGGTACCCCAAGGAGTCAACAAATTAACACATTGGCTGTAATATGAAGGAAAATTACAGAAACATGAGTTAGAGTCAGATGAGTTGTGGAGTTCAGAGACTTTCTGAAGATGATGTGAAGAATAAAGAACAACCAAGCAGGTGAAAAAGTAGGAAAGGCAGCCAGAGGGAGTGGCATTAGCAACCAAGGAAACTCTGCTTTCCAAAGCAGCCACCCTATGCAAGGCAGCTCTGAGTATGAGCAATGTTTACAAAGATATAGGCAAGGAATGCAAGGGGCCACAGTAAAGAAACTGCCAATATGGCTTCTTCATTATCAGGGGAAGCTTTTTATTGCAAATAAGAGAAAGGGGGAATATCCAGAGGCATCTAGAAGAGTCCAAAGCAGAGAGAATGAGTAAACAGACTGGACACAAGAGTAGAGAATAATGGCAAGAAAGCAAGAAGATAGGAAGAGACAGATAGTTGGATGGATGGAAGAATGAATGGACTGATGGGCAGAGTGAGTAAGTATATTGACAATAGCAGGTGGCAAAAGGATAGCTAGGGAGGGGGGGAAGAGAGAGATAGCATGAGATAGAAAATTCAGAGGAAACAACCCTTATCAAAAGAACAAACTGGTATCTGGGAGGAGGGAAGGCTGGAAAGGCTAGCGTGGGCTTTGAAATGTATAGTAAGTATTTGTGAACAGGGATTGAGGGAGCCAGGAGGGCCAGTATGGGTTTTGATATGCAGCCACAGGTATATATCAATGGACAGCCATATGCCCTTTCTGCCAGAGGTATAGGAAATGTTTTATTTTAGAAGATGGAACTGGTTTCACAAATTCCTAAGTAGTAATGGCTTTTTTTTTTAAAGTTAGTTTGTTTTGGGATTTTTTGATGCAGAGTCTCACTATATAGCTCTGACTGTCCTAGAACTCACTCTATAGCCCAGGCTGGCTTCAAACTTAGAGATCCACCTGCTTCTTCTTCCTGAGTGCTGGGATCAAAGGCATGTACCATTACATCCTAATAGGAATACTGGCTTTTATCCAATGGATGGAAATCCACCTGTAGTCCAATTTGAGCTCCTTTCTGGATATTGGGGCAGCCTGCCACTTAATAATTCAATTGACTCAGCCAATATTTACAATGCCTTATCCAGCAACATTAAGTCACATTAAAGCATGGAAAACAAGCCGGGAGTGGTGGCATGTACCTTCAATTCCAGCTCTCAGGAGACAGAGGAAGAAGGATCTTTGTGACTTTGAGGCCAGCCTAGTCTACATAGTGAGTTCCAGGACAGCCAGAGCCATGTAGAAAGACCTTGTCGCAAAAGAACAAAGCAACAACAACAAAAACAAAACACATAGGAACAAGGCAGCCCAAGGGGGCTAGGTAACTCAACAGTCAGCACATCTAGGTGACAGGAAGAGGAAGATCTGTGGTCAACAAGCTTTGGGCAGTATTGAAACCTCACAGGATGCCCTCCAATGCCTCTTAAGTGGGGCAGTGCTGGAGCCTTCCTTTTTTCTACTCCGCAGATCACTCCAAATCTCTGTTTTTACAAAACAAACAGAAAACAAAACAAAACAAAACAAAAAAACCTTTCATTTCCCTTTGACCTTTGTATACATTGTTTTGTAAGAAAATGGGCAGGACCTGCCTGCAGATTAGATTAATGCATTCAAGGGAAAACCAGGGATTGACTACACATTGGAGATCAGAAAGACTTGGGAAATGAGTAAGAAAGAAGTGGAGCAGAGCATAATAATGACCCATTCTCTTCCTAGATATCACACAGGACAGAGACAATGGCAAGAGTTTGAGAGAAACTTTGAAAAAGTGCAGGGAGCTGCTGGAGCATTATAGCGTCAAACAGTTCTACCGCTGTCCATTCAAAATTGTCCAGGTAACTAGAGAGCTTAGAAGCATCTGGACAGACAGCTTCAAGTGCTAGCAAGGGTGGCAAGAAGCCAGACGTCTTGTTTGTTCATGGAAATGTGAGATGGTGAAAATCACATTGGAAAGTTCTATTTGTTTCTCATAAAACCAACCACAGAGATTGCCTGGGGGAATGTGCTCCATAAACATCCAGGGTTTGCAGAAAAGGTACCATGTTCATGATCTTACACACCAGATTTCTCTCTCTCTCTGTTTCACTCTGTCTCTGTCTCTGTCTCTCTCCCCCACCCCCCTTTTTTTTTTGGAGAATGGGTTTCTCTGTAACTTTGGAGCCTGTCCTTGAACTTACTCTGTAGACCAGGCTGGCCTTAGACTCATAGAGATCTGCCTGCCTCTGCCTCTCAAATACTGGGATTAGTGTGTGCATCCACCACCCATCTCTCTCTGTCTCTCCCTTTCTTTTCTAAGACAGGGTCTCACTGTGTATCAATGGCTGAACTGGTACTCACTGTGTAGACCACACTGTTCTAGAACTCACAGCAATCTGCCACCCATATGCTGAGATTAAAGGCTTATTCTACCAAGACTGATTGCCCTGTTTGCTCAGTTCAGTGCTTTATGTCAATTTGCTGAAGAGGCCAGTGATTTTACCTCAGTCTGGTGAACTCTCACTGCATGCCAGCTACTTGTTCATGTAAACCTTTTACATAGATGAGCTTCAAGAGAGAATGGCTGAACCATTGAGCTATGGGTGCTTTTAAATGTAACTGCTCATTACTCAACAAAGACTCGTGCATCTGCTAGGAATGTTAGGGATGTGGGTAAACAAAGGAAACCTATAAGGCTGAGGGATGGCTCAGTAAAGTGCTTGCAGTGAGATCAATCCCCAATGCCATATTTAAAAAATTGAGTGTAGAGTATATTCCTGTAGTCTTAGCTCTGAGGAGACAGATACAAGAGGATCCCTAGGGTTCAATGGGCAATCAATGAGCTCCAGATTTAGTAAGAGACCCTGCCTCAAAAAATAAGATGGAGAGTGATAGATTGAGACACTGAGCTAGACCTCTGGCTTACACATGTACACTATCCCCATGCATTCATACCCACACATACATGTGTGCATGCATATATGAACACAAACACACAGAAAAAGGATACTTAAAAATCTTACTCATGTAGGGTCTAAAGTACCAAGTAATCTAGTCTAGGTATCAGTTTCCTCATCTATCCAGTGGGAATCTACACATGCTGGAAGGACACCATTGTCATAAGAGCTAAATAAATGCTCTGTGGAAAATGCTTGGCTCACTGCCCATCACATAGTAAGTACCCAGTGGAGTGTGTCTATTCCAGTCACCTGGAGGACTTCATGTACTGTCAAGTGCAGCAAGAAGCAGAATGACACATTATGTCAGTGTGCTATCTCCTAACAAAGCATTTTAGTTATGTCAAGAAAGCTGTCAGCTGTCCAGCACCGGGTGTTTCCTTTAGTGCTCCAATAAAGTGTGACACTTTTCTGAGGGTCTCAGAGCACAGCTTCTCTCTAGGAGTCAGAGTAGTAAAAGGCTGTGCATAGACTTTAGCTGTGGACTTTTGGTGCTTCCAGTTTTCCATTTTGGTAAATGTATTAGTCAGGGTTCTTTAGTGAGATAGAACTTACACTCATGCACACATGATTTATTAGAGTGGCTTACAAGCTGTGGTCCCAATAGTCCAACAATGGCTGTCTACCAACAGAAGGTCCAGGAATCCAGTAAGTTGTTCAGTACATGAGGCTGGATGTCTCAACGCGTCTTCAGTATACACTGGAATCCCAAAGAAGTAGGCTCTAATGCCCGTAAAGGACGTGCCAATGAGAGTGAGAGCAAGCTTCCTTCTTCCTTGTCCTTTATAGAGGCTGCCAGCAGAAGGTGTGGCCCAGATGATTAAAAGTGGGTCTTCCCACTTCAGATGATTTAAGAAAAAAATCCCTCATAGGTATACTGAGCTGCTTGAGTTTTTGTTAATTCCAGATGTAGTCAAGCTGACAACAGACAATAGTCACCACACTAAATAAGCCAGTAGTAGATAGCACAGCCTCTCCTTCTCCCTTTCGCCATATCCCTCCCCCAGTGCTGGAGTGCTGGGCCTCACATATCATAGGCAAACACTGAGTTATATTCCCAGCCCATACCATGTATCTTGAAAGTTCATTTTTTCCTAAATTGTTGCAGGTCTTTGAAGTTTTCCTTAATTCACAAGAACTGGGCCAGTTTATAATGACTACGTTGGACAGCCTGAAAAGCCTGCCCCATCCCCGTACCCAGCAGACAGCAGGAGAGTTATTGATAACCTTGGTGAGGAGTGCAGAGGCCCGATTTGAGAAGGTAAAAGTGCAGAGCCAGGTTTGAAATAGAAACAAGCCCTGTCCCTGCTTTAGCTGGGGTAGTCCGGCCATTTGTGCTCTGATGATAATAGGCTCAGTGGGGACAGGACCAAGCCTTCCTCTACTGTTCACAAACTTTCCTCCCTTCAGTAAGCATGTACTCAGAAGCCCCTATACCAAACAAGGGAGATTTGAAACTTAAGGTATAGGGCTGGGGAAATAGCTCCTAGTAAAGTGTTTGTTTTACAAGCATGAGGGCTTGTGTTTAGATCCCTCACACCCATGTAAAAGCTTGTCATGGTCCTGAGCATCTGCAACTCTAACACAATATGGCAGAGCTAGGCACATTCTCAGAGCTCACTGGCTGGCAAGGCTAGCAGAAAGTGTGATTGAAGAGATTGTGTCTCAAGAAAATAAGATGGGGAGTGATTAAGAAAGATATCTTTGACATCAATCTCTGACCTCCACAAGTGCACATACGGGTGTGTACTCATACAGATACATGCACACACCCGAACATCTCTCTCTTTGGTGTGTTCCCCAAAGAACAGGGTTTCCCTAGGAGATGAAATTGATGTATATGAGGCTGGGACTCAGTGCAAATTCTGATCCAGATGAATTGAAGCTATCAAGTTAAGACAGCAAGAAGTGACTGAAAGGTGGCCTGCTTTCCCCAACATCGAGAGAACTTGTCTAAATATATTTAAAACCCACACAGGAAATGACAAAGGAAGCTGGGCAGTGATGGTGCAGGCAGGAGGATCTCTGTGAGTTCAAGGCCAGCCTGGTCTACAGAGTGAGTTCCAGGACAGCCAGGGCTACACAGAGAAACCCTGTCTTGAAAAAACAAAAACAAACAAAAACAAAGAAATGACAAAGGAAAGAAATAACTTATTGATTGATTTCTCTGTAGCTTTGGAGCCTGTCCTGGAATTCACTCCGTAAATCAAGCTGGCTTCGAACTCACAGAAATTCTCCTGTCTCTGCCTCCCAAATGCTGGGATTAAAGATGTGTGCCACCACCATCTGGCAACAATTTCTTTTTATCATCTAAAATGCAAAAGGACAGAGCTGGGGGCCAATAAGATGGCTCTATGAGTCAAAGTGATTGCTGCATAAGCCTGATAACCTGTGTTCAATACCCAGGTACCAGAGTTGTTCTCTGACCTCTACATACCATGGCATGTGTGCCCTCATCTTCACACACAGACAACAATAGTAATTCTTTTTGATAAAAAGGCTACACCTGTGATCCCAGCACTTGGAAGGCTGAGACAAGAAGATTAAAGGGTTAAGGCTGGCTTGGGCTACATAGTGAGTTCCTAGCTAGGCTAGGCTACTAGGCAAAACTCTGTCCCCCCAAAATATTTAATTAATCAACTATCTTAATTAAACATAAAGGGAATACAGAAATAGCTAGAAGTGTAAGAGCTGCTGGCATTTTAAACTGCCCATTGTGCTTTGTTGGGAGTGAAAGTGCTCTGTGAAGGGCACTTGTTCATGCAGAGTCCCGGGTTCAATCCACAGCAAGGCATTTTAGAATGATAAGAACCCATTTTTATAACCTGTGAAAATAGCAAACAGTGGGTCTAGAGAGATGGCTCGGTGATTAAAGGCATTGGCTAATCTTCTAGAGGACCTGGGTTCAATTCCCTGTGCCCCACATGGTAGTTCACAACTGTCTGTAACTCCACTTCCAGGGGATCTGACACTCTCATACAGACATACATGCAGGTAAAACACCAGTGCACGTAAAATTTTTTAAAAAATAATAAAAAGAAAATAGCAAAGATACAACAGGAACACATGAGAGAAGTCAGATGGCTCATGGATGGTTTTGGAGCCTGTAGTGGCCAGAAAGGCTAACTGTGAGGAGCTCTTCCAAAGGGTTGATTATCATATGTCTTGATGGTATATTTGTTAAAATGTTTATCTGACATATTGTTACTATAAAAAAGTGATTTGACTGTACGAAATGATTACAATAAATATACATTCTTAAATATGTGTAGGAAATCTGAACACAGTATATTTTCTATGCTGGGCTCACTGACTTACAATTATAGCCAAGACTGTGGTTCCCATCTTTTGACCTTTTCTGCTTATGAGGCAGGCACAACTGAGACATCACGAGCAGATGAATAAGACAATGCCTTCCTTTTAGTCCCTTCATTAAAGGCAGAACATCTTCGAGTCCTCGGTATATCCTCCCTCATGTTTTTTTCTTTTGGTCTGTTTCCTTTTCCCCCTAAAACAGGGTTTCTCTGTCTTGGAATTCACTCTGTAAACCAGGCTGGCCTTAAACTCACAGGGTCCACCTACCTCTGCCTCCTGAATGCTAGGATTAAAGGCATGTGCCACTGGCACCTGGCTTTCCCTTGTGTATCTATGGCTAGAATTGCATCTGCTGCCCATCCTCCAGTCAGCTTCTGGCACCTGGTGTAAGAATAGCCATTTTATGGCAGAGTGAGTAGTCAAACAGGGAGAACTGGACCAAAGCCCTGGCTTCTGCTTCCCAAAAGACCAGAGAGGACAGTGGGAAAGGGCTCCCCTGTCGTAACATGACATTTTTGTTATAAAATCACTATGTAATCATTCATCAAAAATCAGAAAAAGCTGGGTATTGGTGGCACACACCATTAATCCCAGCACTCGGGAGGCAGAGGCAGGCGGGATCTCTGTGAGTTCAAGGGCAGCCTGGTCTACAGAGTGAGTCCCAGGACAGGCTCCAAAGCTACACAGAGAAACCCTGTCTTGAAAAATAAACAAACAAAAAATCAGAAAAAATGCATGAGAAACAAAAACCCACTTTCCCATTTCTCAGGAATATAGCTTCTGTCTATGTTTACATCCTTCCAAATCTTTTATTTCCTTCCTTCTTTCATTTCTTGCTTTTTTTTTCTTTCTGTGGTGCTGGATTGAACCAAAGCCCTTGTGCATGTCAAGCAAGCATTCTACCCAAGCTACACCCAGCACTCCAGCACGTCTTTCCTTTTATTCTCTCCACCCCCAGCCTCATCCCCACACCCCACACCCCACACTGTTGAGAATCAGATATCAAATCCAGGTCCTCACCTATGCTAGGTGAGAGCACTTTGCAACTGAACTATAGCTCCACCAATTTCCAAATATTTTTGTATACATACATTCATATACACTATTTTTTTGAGACAGGGTCTCTACATAACCCTAGCTGTCCTTATACTCACTGTGTAGAGCAGGCTGGCCTGTTTTCCAAGTGCTAGAATTAAAGGTCACCACTCTGGAGATGATTGGAAAGTTTTAATATTATTTCTGCATTCCTGGTCCTCATACATGCTAGGAAAGGGCTTTAGCATCCTAAACTTTACAAAATCAAAAATATTTTTCTTCTATCCCTCTAGGACCTCTCAGATATGGCTACAAAGATATCTTTTTCCTCTTCAGGTGCCAGAAATAATAGGCGTTATCTGTGCCCGGCTATCAATAATCACACTGCCTACTGTCCGGCAACAAATCATAAATACTGTGAGTTTGTTTATCTCCAGACCTAAGTATACAGATATAGTGCTCAGCCATCTTTTATGTCATCCAGTGCCATATGACAGGTAATAGAACCTTGTGCAACTTCTGTATTAAATTTGGCCCACAACCCATCTCTTTGTATAGTGAGACATGGTTGCTAATGAGACTCCTGTAGAGGAGATAAGGTACAGATTTGTCCCTAAGAAGAATATTTTAAGAGTCAAAGGGCCTTGATTCTTCTAAAAAGTAATGAAAAAGTAATGAAAAAAAGAAAGAAAGAAATCAGCTGGTGGTGGAGCAAAGAAACTGTACAACCCAGGACAGTGTAAGACCTTGGTTGGGTCTTGAATCTAAACAAAAGCTAACTGATTTTTTTTTTTAGAAGGTGGTGAAGGTTGAGATAGTGATTTACTATGTAGACCTTGCTGGCCTGGAGTTCATTAAGTAGACAAGACCCATCTAAAACTCACACAACTGTTGGGATTATAGGCATATGCAACCACATCTGGCTCTGCTAGATTCTTAAATTAGTATAATTTGCCTATGTGTATAGTGATACTGTATGCAGAAGGACATCCTAGTGGTGAGAAGATCGACATTAAAGAATGTTGGGAATCTCAGCACTGGGAGGCTGAGGCAGGAGAATGGAGAGAGTTCAAGGCCAAGCTGGCTACATAGAGAGACCCTGTGTAAATAAATAGATACAGATAGACAGGTATGAAAGTTATTTAGGGGTGAAATCCACAATGCTGGCATCTCACTTGCAGAATACATTCAAGAGTGATTTTTCCCCAAATAAATAAATGCATCCATAAAAAAGAAAGTTTAAGAATATACATAGGAAAGAATGGGGTCCTAAGGAGAAGTTTTTGTGTTCCTTTCTTTCTTCCTCTCTCTCTCTCTCCCTCCCCTCCTCTCTTTTTCTCTCTTTTACTGAGTGTTCTTATAGTGGTAGGTCTAAGTCTTAGAGTCTAAGAGGTACATATGGGCAAGTCAGTGACACTTAAGGAGAGACCCCCCTGCCCCTTTATCTGGGGGCAGCATTCTGTTTTAAAATCTGATTCCTATATCATGATTCTGAGCAACTTTTATTTCAAGAAATATTTTTCTGCTTTAGCCTATTTAAAATTGCTCTTTTGTATGAATGCCTCTCATCAATGTCTTGGTATAGTGCTGGTGTTCTCTATACTGAACCAGACCCTTTACTACTAGGTCAAATGTTAGGACTGTTACTCATCTGGAGGAAATATATACATTCCTGTGGAAGCTAATATGGATTTTTAAAGTCTTTTGTATGTTTCTCTAGATCAATTGCTCTTAAGCCGTTGATCCTTCCCATGGCTCGTCTGTCCACATGTGAAAGAGTTTAAGGAAGGCTGGACAGACTGGTGCGCAGGAGGAAGTGATTAGATTAGGGAATCTTTTGCATAGATAGACTAAAGTTCTAAAATTGGGCTGTCTTGATAGCCACACAGCTATACCACACTAAAACATTTTGTAAATGATCAGAAGTTAGAGAACAACAATATATTTATTGGGTAGGACAGCTGATGTTATACTTTAGGAGAAGCCATTGAAGAGCTTTATGGTACTGGCTCAAACATATCTCTGTGAGTTCAAGACCAGCATGGTCTATATAGCAGGTTCCAGGGCTACATAGTGAGACCCTATCTAAAAGAAAGGTAATTGAAGATGTGAATGGCTTGAGACGTGCCTTTTGCCTGTGACTGTGGTTGAGATGGGTTACAGACTGTGCAGCTGTATAGAAGGCAGGCCAGGCATGGGAGGAAAGGTGAGGCCCACACATCTTCAGAGGCAGAGAAGAGAGGGATTGGAACAGAAGCATCTCTGGCAGGCCCAGAAACCAGGAATAGGCACACTAAGGCAGAAGGCATGCGGGCTAAGCGGGGTTTGGGGCTGGAGTGGACAGGTTAAGAGGAATTGCTTTGCACTGCTGCCAGGTTCTGTGGAGGGTGAGATGCCTTGGGCAACTCAACTCATTACCACAGTCCAGGAAAAGACATCACAGAGCAAATAAGTGACAGGGTCCTGACTTATTGGGAGTTCTGTCCTCAACTGTCACAAGAGCAGCCAGGCTGTTTCTGTTGACAAGGGAGATGGTATGCTTCAAGGTGTGCCTCCCCCAGTCTGCTAGTACAGAAGTTAGGATCGTCGGAACTAATGCATCAGAGCATCCTAGGAAGCAGGTGTCTTCCAGGCCCCCTCCCATAGTTTAGTCAAGATTCTAGTTAGAAGTAGCAGAGATAGTCTTCTCACACGCATAAGGAATTATAGGTTTGTGGTATGTGAAAGTTGTGTCCTTTGTTTTACTAGAACTCCATCCATCTCTTCCCCTTTGGTGGACTGGCATACTGGTTACAAAGTTGGTAACTTTATTAACAACTTTTCTTACCATTCTAATAAAACACACGGCAGACTGGCTCAGTGTGTGGTAACAGGAGAGTTAAGTATAGCAGTTGTTCACATTGTGAAGGACCAGGAAACAGAGCAATGCCAGCCAGAATCAGGGTGCATATAACATTCAAAGCCCTTCTACTAATAACCTACTTGAACTCATTCTGTAGACCAGACTGGCCTCGAATTCACAAAGATCCACCTGCCTCTCCCTCCTAAATTCTGGGATTAAAGGTGTGCACCACCACCATCTGGCTTGTGACCTACTTTCTGCCAGCTGGATCCCACCTCCTACAGCAGTGGTTCTCAACTTTCCTAATGCTTCAATCTTTAATATAATTCCTCATGTTGTGGTGACCCCCCCAACTATAAAATTATTTTCATTGTTACTTCATAACTGTAATTTTGCTACTGCTATGAATCATAATGTAAATTATGTGTTTTCCTGTGGTCTTAGGCATAGGAAAGGGTCACTTAGTTCCAAAGGGTCATAACCCACAGGTGAGAACCCTGATAAGCTGCCCTTGATTCCTCAGGCCTCCTGTCTCACATATCCTGAACTTCTTATATATTTTTAGTTCATGTTATTTATTTTAGCTTTTTGAGACAAGGTCTCCTATGAAGCCCTGGCTGTCCTGAATCTTACTATATAGGTCAGGCTAGCCTTTAACTTACAAAGTTCACCTGCCTCTACCTTCCAAGTGCTGCAGTTAAAGGTGTGTACCTCCACACATAGCGCTCTCTGTCTCTCTCTGTCTCTCTGTCTCTCTCTCTCTCTCTGTCTCTCTCTCTCTCTCTCTCTCTCTCTCTCTCTGTCTCTCTCTCACACACACCACTTTATTATTTTGTGTGTGTGTGTGGGCATGCATGTGCACTCACACGCTCAGGTGGGTGCAAACAAGTCATGGCTGGAGTTGAGGTCAGAACACAACTTGTGGGAGTCTACCATGTCAGGCCTCAAGCAAAGGTGGTCAGACTGGGTTGCCGGTGCTTTTGCCTGCTGAAATGTGTTGTCAGTGCAATGTTTTAAATAAACTCTAGATGATTTGTTTCCTAGTAAAACCTGAGAGCCATTGACTGTGTGCTTTCTAATTTCCAGCATCCTTAGCATGTGCAGCAAAGTAGAGCATTCTAGAAGTGTCTCTGAGGTTTTGTTCTCACAGTACTTTATTTACTGCCTTAGAATCACAGAAAACATTGCATGTTCATACCCTGTCATTCTTACTTTCTCTGCTATGAGCCTTTTACAGAGCCCCACATGCTGCTCAAGCCTTGTTCCCTTCAGGGTTGCTTGGGATCTTCTTGATTTGCTTTATTCTCAGATTTGAATTACTAAATTCGAGGCCAGTGTGATGACGCATACCTATAATCCCAGCACTCAGAGTCAGGAGTATCACTGTAAATTGGAGGCCAATTTACTACTACCTATTTCCCTCCAGGACAGTCTTAGCTACAGAGTAAAAACTATCTAGAAACAGAAACAACAAAAAGGCAGGATTACTAATGTAGGAAATGATTGTTGGGATAATGTCTGAGAGTCTCAGTATTCAGAGTGATTCTGGTAGATTGGAGTTTATACTTTAAAACATAATAAGTTTGTAGCATGCAAAGATACCAAGGTAGATTCTGAAAATTATCAAGAATGGGAGGATTGTATTTTATGGTTGAGTGCTTGTTAAGTGTACATGAGGCTCTAGAGTAAGTCCCCAGCACTGGGATGAAAAAGAAAGCCTTGGGCTGGTAAGATATCTCATCAAATAATGGCATTTACTGCCAAAACTGAGGACCTGAGTTCCAGTCCCAAGAACTACAAAATGGGTTTTGAGAATTGACTCTGGAAAATTGTCCTCTGACCTCTACATGTGTGGGGTGGTATACAAGTATCCATACATACAAATACCTACAATAATTGTAATTTAAGAAGTTCAAACAAACAAACAAAAAATGGAGTCTGGAGAAAGATTCTAGTCAAAACATTTAAAAAAGCCGGGCGTTGGTGGCGCACGCCTTTAACCCCAGCACTCGGGAGGCAGAGGCAGGCGGATCTCTGTGAGTTCGAGACCAGCCTGGACTACCAAGCGAGTTCCAGGACAGCCTCCAAAGCCACAGAGAAACCCTGTTTCGAAAAAAACCAAAAAAAAAAAAAAACCATTTAAAAAAAAGAAAGAAAAAGGCTCTTCCACACTTCTTCACAGTGTTTATCTAACTCTCCGACCCTGCCTTTGAATTGCTACTAGAGTTCTATTTTGAGACGAGTTCTATTTTGAGACTAAGTTTCAGTACTTTTCTCAGACTGGCTTTAGCTGTGATGTCAACTTTGTAGTCTTTGAGACATTACTACATATCACTTTAAGATCTAAGTAGGGTCGGAGGTTAATTTTTAGGAATTGACCTTTTCACACATGAGGACTATAGTTCACAAGGGATAGAGTGTCTTTGAATGCCTTTTGTGCCAGGCTCTGAGGAATCTAGACAGGGTCCCTTCCTTCAGAGTCACACGCACAGAGCACTGACCAGTGTGGGAACACTGTTGAAACCTGTACTAAGAAGACTCGTAAGCGTGATGGGAACTCTGCTGAGAAGCATGGAAAAGCACCAGGAAGCTTGACAGAAGAGATGCCACCTGACCTTCCTTTGAGGAAGCGGGAAAAGAGGCCTCTGCCTTCAGAAAATGGTGTGACCCGTAGGGTAATCAAAGTCCATGCATTGTTTGCAAAGGTGAATGGTGAGAGGTGGCTACAATGTGACTGTGTGATACAGAAACAGAGGAACTCATAAGTTTGCTTAAGACTAGTTTATGAGTGGCTGTAGGTCAATGCCAGGCAGTGAAAGCTCAATTATGCTATGCTGTCGGGAAGTATGTGTATTCATACCCGAAGAACTGAGAAGAGGAAGGTTGGATTCCAAAATGACTCTAAGAAAGTTGTGGTCCTGGGAGGCCTGGGATAAGCCCTTCTCATGATGCTTGCTATTCTGGGATTTCTAGGCATCTGGCTGAACTGTGGAGAACCCTGGAGGTGGAACTGTCTAACACGACCTGGGTCCTGTGGAGGCTCCTGAGAAAGCTGCAGAAATGCCATGATGTGCCCACCCAAGAGAAGATGGCCTATGTGGCTGTTGCTGTAAGCCATCGCTCTGTCCCTTTCATGTCAGCACAGGATGCTCCCCTTTGAGGAGGACTCACTGTAGCACGGATTCTAATTGTTCTTAATGATAAAACCTCAGAGTCAGCTATCAGGGGTGAAAGCTGAAGATCAGAGAAGCAAAGTGGCCAGCCTCTAGAGTTCTCACCTCTACCAATGCTCAGACCAAAGGGTGATCCTGTCCTCACACTGTCTCCTCAGACTGCGTCTGTCTCTAAGAATCCTCAGACTGCTTCAAACTGACTGCTTCAGACTGAGGGCTGCTCAGTCTGCACTGAGCTCCTGTCTCCTCCCGCCTTATATTCCTCTCCCTGCCCACCATATCACTCCTGTCCCTACCTCCCTAGTGTTGGGATTAAAGGCATGTGATCCCAAGAGCTAGGATCACCTTTGTCTGAGCTCTGTTTCTCTTTTAGACTGAATCAATTTCATGTAGCCCAGTGTGGCCTTGAGCTAACAGGGATCCGACTGCCTCTGTCTCCAGATTGTGGAATTAAAGGTGTGCCACCACTGCCTGGCTTCTATTGCTAATTAGTGTGGCTAGTTCTGCACTCTGATCTTTAGGCAACCTTTATTTGTTATAGCATAAACAAAATATCACCACAACTCACCCTATCCAGAGGGTGTTCTTTTTGTTCTCTTTTGAAGTTTGTCTCTAAATTCATCTGGAAATCCATGTGCATTTCTCCTTGGCTCTGACCTGGAGGGAGCAGAAAGGATAGTAGAGCCTAATACAGAATGAACCTGCTTACTTGTAGCCTTTAAAAACGACCTAAAGTAATTTTAAAAGTTTTAAAATGTAATAATATATAAAATAGAAAACAATGGTCCTTTTAATTGGGGATTTGAAGACTTTCTATCTAAAAGAATGTTTTGGGCCTTGTAACCCATATTTATTTTAAGGCTTATAGGTCATACATAGTCTCTGCCGCATAATCTTTTAATTAAAAAAAAAAACAAACTAAAACCAATACAGTACTGTGTGCCTGTCATTCCACCTATTCAGAAGGCCAAAGTAGGAGCATTATTTGAGCCTAAGAGTTACAGACCAATCTGGGCCACAATTTTGTTTTCAAAAGGAAAAACAATAAAACTTAACATTTATACATACAAAAAAAGAAAATCATTCTTAGCTCATAATCTGTTCCATTTCCCTCATGAGATTTCTAGAAATACCTGTGTCTGTGTATTTGATGTTTTCTAACCCCGTTTTCCTTTGAAAACAATACTTTTTTTTTGTTTTTTGTTTTTTTCCGAGACAGGGTTTTTCTGTATTGTTTTGGAGCCTGTCCTGGAACTCGCTCGGTAGACCAGGCTTGGTCTCGAACTCACAGAGATCCACCTGCCTCTGCCTCCCGAGTGCTGGGATTAAAGGCATGCGCCACCACCACCCAGCTGAAAACAATACTTTTTAAAGCAGTCTCATGTTCACAGCCAAACTGTACAGAAAGTACCTAGGGTTGCTGCACACCTCTGGCCTTGGGCATACTGAGACTGCTTCCTATCACTATATATGCTTTTTTTTTTTTTGAAACAGGGTCTCAGGTAGCTCAGGCTGGCCTCAAAATAGTCATATAATAAAGGGTGATTTTGAACCTCCTACTCTGGCTTCCCAAGTGCTAGGATTCCTCCCACAGCTGCCTTCTGGCAGGCTACACTTCTCCCCTTATCTCCTGCCTCTTTGTTTTTAGGTTCCTCTTTGTCTAGTCCCAAGTATTGTCATAGTATTTTAAACTTCCAAATTTCTTTCAGTATTTCTAATTTGCTATTATCTTCTCTTTTATTCTCTTTTCTTATGAATGTATGCTTTTTAAAAAACTGTAAAATGTAGCTGGGCTGTGGTGGCACACACATTTAATCCCAGCACTCAGGAGGTAGATCTTTGTGAGTTTGAGGACAGCCTGGTCTACAGAATAAGTTCCATAAGTTCTAAAATGTTATGTTAGTGTAGTTTTAGAAGTTAGGGCAAGTAAATGTGTATTTCAGCCACACAATGCAGCTTGTGATATAGGAGATATGGGAGGGACTTGATATTCTCAGTTCAAGCAGCTCCCAGAAGATGCTTTGTTGCAGTGGGCTGACCTTGAGCAGCTAGCCTTTAATTTGTCTTACTTACTGAAGGGTGAGAGCATTTTATTAACACATTGACACAAAAATACTTTTCTGAGTTGTTATTTGTCATCTAATATGATAGATTTTGTTGTGGTTTTGTTTTATTGTTTTTTAGTTGTATCTAATGAAGTATACCAATAGTTTCCAATTATGACTTTTGGATGTCAAGCCTGCTAATTGGACACACACACACACACACACACACACACACACACACACCTGTGTGTGCATGGATACATGTATATGTATAATGTGTATGTGTTGCTAGGGATTGCACCCAGGGTCTACCACGTGCTAAGCATGTACTCCACTCTGAGCATGTCCCATTTCAGTCCTAATGACCACTTTTCTCTTATTCTCCCTGTCATGTTTGTTCCTCTACCAATTACCATTGCTGTTCTCAGAGGGTTAGGACCAACAGACACTCAGGTCTTCCCTGTGCCTTTTCTGCCACAGGTAACAGATGCCCTTTACGAAGTGCTCATGGGAAACAAACTTCGAGCAGCTGCATTCCGACTCTTTCCTCAGCTCTTGATGGCACTGCTCATCCAGATTCACCACAGCATTGGCCTCACCATGTCTGATGTCAGCATCCCAAGTGGCCTGTATGCAGAACAGGAAATACCAATGGAGGTCACACCTCTGCGGTACTGCTCACTGTGATTTCATTGAACTGAACACTGTTTAGACAGTCCTGGGCACTGCAGTAGACATGAGGATAGATGTGGTCATAACTGTGAGTGAACATAGGTCCACATTGCCCAGGAATCACTCTGGCTTTCATTTACTGCTTTTAGTTTTCTTGGTACCAGTGTTAAATTTCACTATGTAGCTGCCTCAGATAATGTGTGATATTGTGCTGGACATTCCCTGCCAGAGCAAGTAGAGACAAGACCAGCAAACCAACCTCCAAAATTGGATTGATCCAATGAAATGATTCCTTATTTCTGGGATATTGCTTGGAGAGACTTTTCAGTTCCTCAACAAGGTCTTGCTAGACATTTCTAGTGTTGCTGACACACAGATCTTTTGAAAGGAAATGCCATACCATGGGATACTTAGGACCAGGCTGAGTGTCAGTATGTCCCAGTGTATTCTCATGCATCTGTTTAATGAGCTGCATGCCATGGGCAAAACCAGACATTCTTAGAGCATACTAGGCAGGCATTCACCCAACTGAGCCAAATCCCTAGCCTTAAATTTTACCTCAATTTTTAAAAATCAGTGGATCAGGCTGGAATGATGGTGTAGAGATTAAGGGCCCTTGCTACTCTTGCAGAGGACCCAGGTTCCATTTCTAGCACCTATGCGACAGCTTATGACTGTCTGTAACTCCAGTTCTAGGGGATCCAACACCCCTCTTCTAGTCTCCATGGGCACTGTATGTGGTGCACAGATATGCAGGCTAACTCATACTCATAAAATAAAAATAATCTTTTTTTAAATGCAATGGGTATCCATTTAGCACTCCAAATCAATTGTTGAATCACAGATCTTCCAAACTCTTTGAGAAACAAAATCAAGTTAAATTTCTTTATGATGAGAATTTATGTGGAAGGCATTTCCAGTTATTAGAGCATGAAACATCTTTAGGAACTCTAGAAAGGGATGGGTTATGATACAGCTCCTGGCCCATTCCATGATTAGTAGTCCTATTATTTCCATCCATGCTTATTTTTGCTCAACTTAGCTTCGCCATACAAGCTACAAAGACTCTCCTCCTCAGAACATTGTGCTGGCAAGAATTCAGCATCATGGAAAAGAATGATGGATGGACTCTTCTGAAGGGAGAATGCCATCTTCAGGGGGTATCTCTCCTTGCCAAGTAAGACTTCCTCATTTTAATGTATTAATTCTCTCCAGAAAGCAGAATCGTTTTATTTTCTCCTTTAAAAAAATCACAATAGCCTGGCATTGGTGGCGCATGCCTTTAATCCCAGTACTCGGGAGGCAGAGGCAGTTGAATCTCTGTGAGTTCGAGGCCAGCCTGGTCTACCAAGCTAGTTCCAGGACAGCCTCCAAAACAATACAGAGAAACACTGTCTCGAAAAACAAAAACAAAAACAAAAAACAACCAAAAAAATCACAATAACTAAAATCATAGCAGAGTATTATTTTTTTTGAGGCAGGGTCCCACTGTGTCCTTGGCCTGGACCTTACCATGAAAACATTTCAAAAGTCTTGGTCCTGGCATGACCTCCTGAATACCTGAACCAAGGTAGAAACTTTGGACTTGGGCAAATGCCATCTGAGTTAGCATATGTCTGAGTTTTCTGTTGGTCTGTCTTACAGTGCCTTGCTGGAAAGAAGTCACCTCTTTGCATATAAGACCATGTACTTGTTAGTCCCTTTGATTAACCGAGGGAATGAGAAACACAAACTCACATCTGCAGGTTTTTTTGTGGAGGTAAGAGTTCTGTAGGTACTGGATTCAGGAAGCCCAGGAGTAGAACCTCTATTCTAAGCTATATTCAACTAGGGACAGGCATTCTGTGTATGCAATAGAGGCTCTTTTTAGATTCCAGCCTTTCGAATCCTTTCGTCTCACCCTCGTCAGTGTTCCTTGTGTCCCTGCTCCTAGCATTTCTCTGTACTGTCTGCAGCAGCTTGGTGACTTCAAAGGCAAATGTATGCTTTAGAATTGGTGGGAAGGTAGCTCCCTTCAAGAAACAGCTGTAAGGTCATTTCTTTCAGCTCTTGAAGAGTCCAGTGGCCAGAAGATTGCCCAGGTTATACTCCACTGTGCGCCTGAAAGACTGGCTGTATGGTGAGAATAAGCTCTTCAGGATTCTTGCACTGAGGGGACTACATAATCTTGTCAGACACCGAGAGATGGTAAAAGGACCTTTGACCACTGATTTACTGGTAATAGCTACAATAAATAGATAATAGATACATAATAATAAATAGACACATAAATAGAACAACCCCAAAGATACCCAAGAAACTCAGGAAGTGTTGGGGCAGGAGTGAATGGGGGAATACATTTTTCACTGTACAACCATCTGTACCATTCTAATTTTATACCTAGCAGTTATGTGGGTACTATTAAAATTAAATAACTTTAGAATCCCAAGTCACGAATATTCATAATACTTTGAAACTTGCATTTTGTGGGGGAGGTGCACTTACTTTTACAACACAGTAGAAAATATCCAGCTGTCTGATTGATGCCTTATATTATGCTGCCCTGCGGAGTACTTGGACATTCCAGGGTATTTATCATCTAAGACAGAGATCACTATTCATGATGAAAGTCTTCCACATCTCACTAAAAAAACATGCCTCACCTGGGCTGTGGTAGCACATGCCTTTAATCCCAGCACGAGAGAGAGAGAGAGAGAGAGAGAGAGAGAGAGAGAGAGAGAGAGAGAGAGAGAGAGAGAGAGAGAGAGAGAGGCAGGAAGATCTCTGTGAGTTAGAGGTTAGCCTGGTCTACAGAGTTAGTTCCAGGACAGCCAAGGCTACACAAAGAAACCCTGTCTTGAAAAACCAAAAACAAGAAAGAAAGAGAGAGAGGGAAGGAGGGAGGAAGGAAGGTTATGCTGAAGTTTTAATTTTGCCACTTGAGATATATTTGTTTTATAAAAAATGAATACACATATGGAACAAAAATGACAAATGCTAGTATATGCTAACTCTGACTGAGTTGGATGCATGAGCATTTGTTTATTGCACTTATGTATATATGTATACACATACATTTTAAAATCCTGAGATTGCTTCCTTGTAGGAGTTTAGAATGGGGAGGGCTTTTAAGGATCCTTGTCAAACCCTGCTGAATCCCTACCAAGGAGTTTTCAAGCCTTTGTTTGAATAACTTCTATACTAAAGAACTCAGTCTGGCCTGAGCTGGCCATTCCACTTTTTTTCTGTGTTGGGTGAACTTTTCCTTAAAGTAAATCCTAGTGTATATCCCTGCCCCCCCCAACCTGGTTCCACCTCTGTTCTATGAAGCAATTCATGACAGCTCCTCCCCCTCCTCTACATATCAGGCATGCCAATAGTAAAGAGAGAGTTCTTATGCCCTCGTTACCACCAGAGTTACCAGAAATCCATAAGCACTAGGGTACCTAAATGGGTGTGGGATTCCTCCATTTAAAATTAGATAATGAACTATCGGGAGAGGAGGTCATGGCTGTTTTGGACACACAGAGAGAAGATGTCAAAAGCACGATACCCTGCATCTTAGACAGCTTAAACGAGACGGATGAGAGGATCGTTTTGTTGGCCATCCAGATACTCATGCAGCTTGTCAAGACACTGGACTCTACCACCTTGGCTACCATGATGAAGATCCTGTGTTCCTTATTTGGTGACGTAAGACAATGAGAGAAAAGATTCCTCCTTAGAGGATGGGTACCTACCAGCTAGCAAATTTTGAGACCTTAATGAGGCCATTATATTTTACTTACATAATGGAGTGTTTTATTTACAGAGGCCTTTTAAATCTTCTCCCCAAGACCCTTCGAGATAATCTGTGATGCCCTGTTTTACTGGGCTGATGTTATTAGTCTTTCAGATTTAAAGAATTTTGAGACATAGCAGGGTAGTGTTGGTGCATGTCTTTAGCAGGGATGCAGAAGCAGGCAAATCTCAGAGTTTGAGGCCAGCCTGCTCCAGGATGGCCAGGCTACACAGAGAAACCCTGTCTCAAAAAACAAAAAACAAACAAATAAACAAAAAAGCAAAAACAAAAAACCCTGAAAAACTTGAGACACACAGACTTCCAAGGAATTAGTTTGCTCTGTGGGAGGGGAGAAAATTGTATAGGGCAAGGAACAGTAAGAAATGGGTCACAAGGAGAAAAAAAAAGAAAGAAATGGGTCAAACTGACAAAGATTTGTCCAAAATCACTAAGATTTTCTAAAAGAAACACATAATGCACATTAACCCACATCCTCAGTATATGCTAGTTAGGATTTTGAATTTGAGCAAAACAGCTGGTGTGAATGATTCATACCAGCATTGAATGGAAGCTTTTTCTGCAACAGGTGGAACTACCTATTTCTTGCTTATACAGTTCAGAAACAAGTATATCAAACACAGGTCTTGCTGTCTCCCTATATAGTTGATTGCTTGCTCTCAACTGTTTGCAGCTAGATAGCTTCATGTTAAGACTCCCTGGAGTTCTTATAAGGTAGTATGAGCATGTTCAGTGAGCTGTTTCCTTCTGAATCCTCCATTCTTAGGTGAGACATGACGTCCATCATTTCTCCATGACTCTCTTTGGAGCCTCCATAAAGGCTGTGAAACATACAGACAAGAAGTGTGTGGAGAGCCACGTCCTGGAAAGCTTGGTTCCACTACTTCTGTTTTCTCAGGATGACAATGATGACATAGCTAAGGTAATACCAGTTTCTTTTCAGCCAAGAGTACCTGAGTTTAGATCTAGCTCTGCGGTCACATTCTTGTTCCTTATGTCCTCTCACACAAAACTACATTTCAGTCATTTCTCTGAGGAAATTTCGAGAAATCAAACTATATTTCTGTGTACCAAGATATGGTCTTTGTGGGGAAGAAATATGTATTATCACTTTGTAGCCTAGCACAGAGCCCAAAATACAATGCTCAACTCAACAAACTCTGTGTTAATGACAAACGTGTTCTTTTCTTTCAAGGACTACCCCTTGGCCTTGAGACATGGAATGTGGTGGGAGTTAAGTTAGAGACTTTATTTCTCCTAAGTCTTCCAAAGGTTTTGCTGAAGAATTGGGGTTTTTCATTTAAACCACCTAGTGTTAACTGTATCTGTTCAGGCTGGGCATAATGGCATAGATTTGTAATCTCAGCTACTTGGGAGGCTGAGGCAGGAGCCTTTCAAGTTCAAGGACAGTGTGGATAACTTAAAAGAGTAAGTCTGACAAGATGACTCTCAGTAGGCAAAGGTACTTGCTGCCAGGCCTGACAACTTGAGTTTGATTCCTGGAACCTATAGGTGAAAAGAGAGGAACCGATTCCTGCAAACACACGTGGAGGCAGGAAGATGATAGATAGACAGATAGATAGATAGATAGATAGATAGATAGATAGATAGAAAGAATTGAATTTTTTAAAATAAAAATAAAGTGAAAGAAGAGCTAGAAATAGTGGCAGTGCTTGCCTACCAGATTCAACCCCCAGTACAGTAACACACACACACACACACACACACACACACACACACACACACACACGGAGGGAGGGGGAGAGAGAGACACAGAGAGAGAGAGAGAGACAGAGGGAGAGAGAGAGAGACACGAAGAGAGTAAGCTTTCTCAGTCCATTATGCTGTGATCACCAGTTATATCATTCCAGCATTCCAGGGAGGCCAGTTTAGACCACAAGAATTTGGGAATAATTCTGGAGCTGTCTTTGTGTTCCCCCATACAGAAATGAAAGTCAAACTTAAAAACTTAGAAACCAGCCAGGCGTTGGTGGCACACACCTTTAATCCCAGCACTCGGGAGGCAGAGGCAGGCGGATCTCTGTGAGTTCGAGGCCAGCCTGGTCTACAGAGTGAGTTCTAGGACACCCTCCAAAGCCACAGAGAAACCTTGTCTCGAAAAAACAAAAAAAACCAAAAAACAAAAACAAAAACAACTTAGAAACAGCTGGAGGTTATGGTGCATGCCTTTAATCCCAGCACTTGGGAGCCGAGGCAGGCAAATCTCTGTGAGTTTGAGGACAGCCTGGTCTATAGACTGAGTTCAAGGACAGCCAGGACTACGTAGTCAGGCCCTGTCTTAGGGAGAAAATGCATAGAAACTGGACTTAAGATTTATGTGGGCCCTCATGCCTTGTATGAAAAGGTCTATAGTTCTGTAGCCATCAATTAGAAATATTTCAGCCCTCAATAAAGTATAGCTCAGATTTTGTCAACCAAGTGATGGAGAAGCATATCTTTGGAGCTCATGGGTGTGTGGTACATTGACACCTCCCCCCAATCTGCCATCCCTTGGCAATCAGAAAAGGCGTAGAGATGCCAAGGCTCTGAGTTTATTTTCCTACAACTTGAACAACTTCTAGCTAAGTCAAGCTCTTCAGAGAGGAGTCTTAGCAGAGAGGTGGGTGTTAATTGGGTTAGGACAGAAACAATGCTCTAAGAATTGAAATAAATAAATCATACACCTATTCCCAACTGAAACCCCCAAATACATGTCATCCCAATTTTTTATCATTTCTAAAGTAAGTTTTCCCCTTCCTTTCCCCCTTCTCTTTTCTTTCCTTTCCCTCTCCTCTCTTTTGTGTTTTTTTGTTTTGGGATAAGGTCTTTGGCAGCTCAAGCTGGTCTCAAGCTATGTAGCCAAGGCTTGCTCCTGGATGGATTTGATTGTTCTGCCTCTGCTTCCTAAGTACTGGAAGTACAGGTGTGTGCCATCAATGCCTGACTTGTCTGTGTGAATGTGATTGTGTGTGCGTGTGCGTGTGCGTGTGCGTGTGTGTGTGTGTGTGTGTGTGTGTGTGTGTTTGAGACAGTCTCACTATGGAGGCCAACCTAGCCTTAAACTTGCTGTCCTCTTGCCTTTGCCTCCCAAGTGCTGGGATTATAGTTGTGTGCCATCACAATGAGTTTATTTTTCATGTTTTAAACCTGATGTTGTTTATTTCTATAAATCTCTCAGCATATTTACTTAACATTGTATTTGTGATATTTTTATTGTAAGGCTGTAGATCATTTGTTTTCAGTGTTATGTGGGATTGCATAATTTAATCTAAATTTTACCCCATTCTTCTATTCCAGGACACTTAGACAGTGCTTGGTCTTCATGATTATAGTGCTGCAACAAGCACTTTAGTGCATGCATGTGAGAATTTCTTAAGGTCATAAAAACCTAGTGTGGGTACCTGGGTCAGATACTACATATCTATAAATTGCTACACAAATAAGCTGAAATAATTCTAATCAATCTCCAAAGGATTTGGTTTTTGTTGTTGCTTTTGTTTTAAGACAAGGTCTCACCATGGAGCTCCAGATGGCCTGGAATTGGCTATGTAGACCAGGCTGGCTTCTAACTCAGAGATCTGCCTACTTGCCTTAGCCTCCTAAGTGTTGTGATTAAATATATACACCACCATACCTTTTCTTAAAAGGATATTTGTGGCCCAAATATCTAGTGAACCTGAGATAGTGTTGAATGGTGCTTTAGTGGCATTCTGAGAGCAATGGCTAGACAATGGAATCCTGTTTAGAGCCTGGGCTATAGAATCTGTGTCTTAGCTGTGTACCACATCTACTAGTTGTCAGTTTCCAGAGTCCAGTGGTTTCTGCATCCTTTTTTTTTTTTTTTTTTTTTGGTTTTTCGAGACAGGGTTTCCCTGTGGCTTTGGAGGCTGTCCTGAAACTCGCTTGGTAGTCCAGGCTGGTCTCGAACTCACAGAGATCCGCCTGCCTCTGCCTCCCGAGTGCTGGGATTAAAGGCGTGTGCCACCAACTCCCGGCTGGTTTCTGCATCCTTATCTCACTCAGAGTAATTCTGAAATTATCGGACTTTCACATTAGACTTTGATGTGAGTTTTACTAAAGAAAATTTACCTCAGTTAAAGAATGTTTGAAAATGCTGATCTGTTATACTCTCTTCCCCCACAGGAGAGTAGACGAGTCCTAACTCTATGTGCCCAGTTCCTGAAATGGAAGCTGCCCCGAGAAGTGTACTGCAAAGATCCCTTATACATCAAACCAAATGAAGTTAGAAGGGTCTGCAGATTCTTTGTATGTGAGAAATACTGGCTTTGTTTTTCTGATTGTTTTTAATGGAGACATGGCATGCAGGAAACATTTACCACCCACCCTTTCACAGCAGTAGTTGCTCTCCATGAACTGTTGAAGAGGTAGATCTCTTTTCTGTAGTTCCCCCAATTAGTCACAGATGCTTTTAAAAATGTTTTATGTGTATGTGCACACACATTGAGTGTGCCACAGTGTGCAAGTGGAGGTCAGTGAACAACTCTCAGGAGTCAGTTCTTGCCTTCCATTGTGTGAGGCAGGGTCCCTTTTGTTTCTGCTGATGTGAGTCCCTGTCTCGTAGGGATGCTAGAATTAGTCATCTGGCTTCTGTTATGTGGGTTTCAAGGATCAAGCTTGCGTCCTCAGGTTTGCATGGCAAGCACTTTTACCCATTGGTCCATTTCACTCGCCAACAAATTTACTACTAACATGTGTCCTCATATATGCAAAAGGCTGGTGGTATGATGTGTAGTGGCACATCCCTGTAATAACATCACTCAGGAGGCTGAGTCAGGAGGCTGAGTCAGGAGGCTCAGTCTGAGTGTGAGGGCAAGCTGAGCTGGAGAGTAAGACCTTGTTTCAAAATAGTAATAACAAAATAACTGATAAACTAGAGAGCCCCACTAATTGCATCAGAAACTACAAGGTCAGATCTCTAGTCCAAAAGGTTTACTTGGGCTAGGCTTGGTCATGCACACCTTTAATCCCAGCACTCAGGAGGGAGAGACAGGCAGATCTCTGTAAGTTCAAGCCAACGTGTTCCAGGACAGCCAGAATTAGTGAGGCTTTGTCTAAACAACAACAACAAATGTCCATGTGAGCTGAGTTGAAATAATTATGCATTGTCTTCACATCTATAACCCTTTGCTTGATATAGTGGATTGTCTTATTATTTTCCATTAGAACATTAATCCCTAAGCAAGGACTTCCTAAGACCTTATAAGAAGAGGGCAGCATGTCACTAGTCCTGAGACCCAGATGGCATCTTCTGTTTATAAGCCCAGCAGAGCCTATATAATCCACAGTAGCTTCAGAAGTTCCATGCATAGTTTTCTAGAAACTGCTTGAAGTAGAACCACCTGAATCTTCCACATATCTAAAACCCAGAATGGTTTCTTCCCATCAAGTTTGTAGGGCTGGGAAGCACACTATAGTGCCCTTGCCTGTCTTTTCCTGGGTGAACTTCAGTCATTACGTATAGTTGACACATTAATGACAATATTTCCAACAAGATATTTGTTGTTCCCAATGGGTAAAAGTGCAAACTCTTCATGTCAAATTGTAAGCTCTATGAGAAAAAAATTCTTGTCTCCCCTTCCTGTTTTGTGAGGTGATTGTCCTTCCAAGAGGCCCTTGAAAGGTGCACAATTCACCAAGAGAGCAAAATAGATTTTCCATGTAGCAGGTCATGGCAACGCAGTTTTTAAAACTTCTAGTTTGTAGCCTGCAAACTAGTAAGGAGACTGAAAACTTCTAAGAAACTAAAATAGAAACCCCAAGTGGAAAATAGTATGTGCCAAGAAAAGAAGCCTGCAGAGTGCCCAGAGCTGGGTTGACTCACAAGAAGAGCTGGTAGGGAAGTCAAAGCTCAAGGTAGCATTTAGAGGTGAGAAGGCAGAGGCACAGAGAAGCCAGGGTGACTGCAAAGGTGTCATGGACAGGTGTACACAGTGGGTATTCTGAGGACTTAACTTTACAGGGGCTTGCTATCATGGCAAAGCAGCCACTGTGACATTCACTGAAGTAATTCAGATACTGCTGTACTCACCTGCTACTTTATTGTTATATACTCTTCTCATCAACTTAGGGCGAAAAAAGCAAGGGGAAAATAAACATCCTAGACCAAACACTAATGTATTCCAAGGACCCAAAACTTCCCATCAGAAGAACAGCTGTCTTGTTTATAGGTAAAAGAAAACCCTTTCATTTGTATAGCTACCTTATCCTATACCTTGCAATGTTGTGTTGAGTATCCCAGTCTTTTCTTTACATAGAATGTATTGCAATCATATTCACCTCATAACTCTCATATTCCTCATGCATTCCCATTGATCCCCTTCTTCCCAAATAGTTTCTCTTCTACTTTCGTGTCTTATTTTGGTGACTCAATAAATTTAATTAGTGTTACTATAGAAGCATGGGTAACTTACAAGTGACTACCACTGAGAAAAATGTTTCTTCCTTCACACTGCCCCTTTCAGCAACCATTAACAGCCTGTAGATCCTCAGGGACTTCACAAACCTCTTTCCCCAGGAACCTTTGTAACTGCCTAGAAATCCTCAAGGGCATGCAGGGCCTCAAGTCCTTGGTGAGAGAGTATCAGTGGGTCCAGTCTTGTGCAGGTCTTATGCAGGCCATTACAGCTGCTGTGAGCTCATGAGTGCAATGTCTAGAAGACGTATTCTACAACACTCCACCTGCCCCTTCATCTCATACATTCCTTCAGCCCCCTCTTCTACAGTGTTCTGAGCCCAGGACGGGGAGAGAGATGTCTCACTTAGGTCTGACAATCAATAGTCTCTTACTCTCTGGCCAAAGCTGACAGCAGCACTAATCTATGAACATAAACCTAAGTATCTATCAGCCAATTTGATGGTCACAATAATCCATCTAGCAAAACAAAACCAATTTTTTCCCTGCTAGGACCTGACCTCCTCAGCCACAAACTTCATACCAGACTTATAGATTTAGGCATGATCTTTATGTAAATGACCTTGAAAACACTTTTAATGAAAAAGGAATGACATTATTGACCAATAACTATAAGGCACTTTGGAATATTAATATTAATAAATAAAACTATTGTGTGTGTGCATGTAAGAGACAACATTTACATGATGTGGTGGATATGTGGAGGACAGAGAGCTTGTGGGAGTCGGCTCTCCATCCACTGTGTGCGTCTGGGAATTGAACTCAGGTTGTCAGGTTCACAAGCAAGCATATCAGCTCTTTAAGCCATCTTGCTGGCTCTTGTTCCTTATTACTTTGGTTATTTATTTTTTTGAAACAGGTTTTCACTGTGTAGCCCTGGCTGGTCTGAAACTGATTTGTAGACCAGGCTTGCCTTCAACTTAGACAGATACTCCTGCCTCTGCCCCGTGAATGCTAGGATTAAAGATGTATGCTACCACTCAAGGCTCTGCTTAGCTTTTCAGATAGTTTCACTGTGTACTTAAGGTTAACTTCGAACTTATGGCAATTCTCATGCCTGAGCTTCCCAAGTGTTGGGATTACAGGTATGAGCCAGAATGCCTGGCTGGAATTTATTGTTTTGAATATGCCTTATTAACTAAAGGCTAATTCTGCCACCTGCTTAGATTATTAAATGATAAAAATGAAAAACCTTTAGTTTATAAAAGCAAAAGTCTAAGGCTTACTATCTTGTATTTAGGGATCTTATCAAATTATGTGGATCCCAGTGAACTCAAGAGAAAGGGTACTGACATAGAAAATGGTAAGTAATGGCATTGCTTGGATGTGGAATGCCCTATTTTGGAAGGTACCTCAGTCTGTGACTACAGGCAGGCTCTGAAGCCACAGCTGAGTCTGGCATTTAAAACTCTGGGCTTATGTAGCATTAAAAGCATAAAGTGATTGTAATTCAATTAAATTATGGTCTCATCTAAAGTCTAAGACCCCTTAGGAAAGGGTATGATCCTGTTTGTCTGGAAATAGCTTATCTAATGATTGTCTAAAGGGAACCTTCCAAACTTTGTCAGGAAGTAAAACATCATCTTTCTACAAATCTATCCTAACCAATTATGGTGACGTCTCACACGAACCTCAGAGGCTTCCCACTGTCTCAGAAGCTGTGCTGTCCAGTGAAGGACTAAGAACGAGAGTGCTTAGCCTCTAAGACAGCTGTCAGAACTGTTTCAGAACTGTCGGTGGGTGACACTTTCTCCAACTGCACAGTTCTGCAGACTGAGTGCTCGAAGAGTTCTTACTCCCACGTAAGAAGAGCTGTATAAATCGGGAGATAATGTTTAATGGTAGAGTGTTTGTCCAGTATGTGCAGATGAAGCTTGGCATTAGGCTCTATGTTCAATCCATAGTACTGGAGGGGAAAGGAGTTACATATGCATACACAAATGCATATTCTCACAACCCCAAACCACTTCTTCCTTCCTCCCTTCCTTCCTTTCCTTCCTTCCTTCCTTTCTTTTTTGTGTGTGTTTTTTGAGGCAGGGTTTCCTGTAACTAGCTCTTGTAGACCAGTCTGGTCTCGAACTCACAGAGATCTGCCTACCTCTGCCTCCCAAGTGCTGGGATTAGAGGTGTGTGCCACCACTGCCCAGCCAAAATCTCTACTTTCATAACCAAATTAAAAATCTAAGCAATTTGTTTTTTAATTAAAATTTGTTTTATTTAGTATGCTTATGAAGGTAAGAGGACAAACTACAAGAGTGAGTGATTCTTTTCCTCAACCATGTGGGTCATGGGGGGCTATTGGGATGAAACACCCTCTGTCCTCCCCCAGTTGCCAGTCACTGGATAACCAGCCCAGCTCACCAAGGAGATGATGAATCAAAGGTGATTTTATAGCCATTTTTGCAGGTGACATGCGAGTAAGGTTCATCACAATTGTATCCCATATCGGCCATATCGAGGCAGTGATAGTGTACCTAGATACACTATGCTGTTGCAGCGTCAATCTGGTTTTTAATGAAAACCATCAGTTTGTTAAAGAGAAAGGGTCCTAGCGACAGGAGGATTAGTAAGCCAAGGAAGGGGCCAAACAAGGTAGAAATCCACTCCAGGCACTCCAAATGTGCCGATCGAACAATTCTCTGCAGCATTTTTCAAGTTCTCCTGATTGATGTCTCTTGATTCGGTCTCAAACAATGCCTGATTTGTTGGTGTAAAAGCAGCATTTCTCCTGCAAAGTCAAACTGCCTCCCTTGCCTGCTGTGAGTAAACCTAAGCCTCTCCTATTTTGTAGGACTACTTCTGCCAGGGAGTCACCTTGGTCCTGAAGGTCCTGAACTGACTTGTACATAGTCTGTACATCATCAGCAAGCCATTGAGATAGCTTGGAGTATGTCTGTATAGCTACTCCTATGTCTGTGGAGCCGGTGGTTAGGGCCCCCATACTCCCAAGTCCCACTAACAGGGGGATGAACTGGATGACTCTCTTATGTCTGAGAATAAGATAATCTATGCTAGGTATTGGAATGGGCTCATTTCCTGGAATAAACTCTACATCTAGGAGAAGGGTGGCTAATATACCTAACCCTGTCCAATTTGTAGGCAACATGGAATAAGCCATTCCATTTCTACATGTAAAAACTTGTCCAGGCCCAGGACAAAGAGCAGGAAGTGAGTGATGCTTGTCCTACATCTATGTCAAAGCTATTACTTTTACAGTGTTTATAAAGGCATAATGATTAAATCCTGTGGGTTGTATCTTAAAAGGAATGCTAAGAGAGCAACTATCACCTGGTGGGGGACCATCAACAGGTACAGAGGAATTTTGCAACACTGGAATGGCCAGAGGCCATGAGGTTCCCAAGGCCAAACACAACTAGCAATCCCTTGCCTTGCCAGGTGGGGATTGGTGACATTACTATTACTCCCCCTTTGTAGTTTTTTAGAAGTTGCATTTTTAAGGAACTATAAGTACACTCCACAATTCCTTGAGGATTATAAGAAATACCTGTTGTGATCAATTTTCTATTGAGTACAAAATAGCTGAATGTCTTATTAGAATATCTAGACCAATTGTCTGTTTTTTATCACTTTTGGAACTCCCATGTAAGCAAAACATTTTTTTTTTTTTTGGTTTTTCGAGACAGGGTTTCTTTGTGGCTTTGGAGGCTGTCCTGGAACTAGCTCTTGTAGACCAGGCTGGCCTCGAACTCACAGAGATCCGCCTGCCTCTGCCTCCCGAGTGCTGGGATTAAAGGCGTGCGCCACCAATGCCCGGCCGTAAGCAAAACATTTTGAACAGTGACTTATCACATGCTTGGTGGCTTTTTTAGTTTGGTAGTGGCCATCAAGAAACCTGGATACCGCCGGGCGGTGGTGGCGCACGCCTTAAGCACTCGGGAGGCAGAGGCAGGCGGATCTCTGTGAGTTCGAGGCCGGGCTGGACCAATAGCCTCCGAAACAATACAGAGAAACCCTGTCTCGAAAAACCAAAAAAAAAAAAAAAAAAAAAAAAAAAAAAGAAACCTGGATACCTATCAACTGCCATGTGAACATTTTTTAACTTGTCAAATTTTGTAACATGAGTAATATCTACTTATAAATTATTAGGAAATAGGCCTCGAGGTTACAGATAAATATTGTGGGCACATCTCATTGTTTGACAAGCAGTGTCTCTAGTTAAACCAAATTGCTTTCTTAGACTTTTGCTATTTTGATGGTGAAAGTTTGAAAGACCCCCAGAATGGGAAGACCCTCACTCAAGTCTCAGGATAAGCCAACACCCCAATAATTCAAGAGAGACCGTTCTTGCTGCAAGCACAGGAGGTTTATTCGGGGAACCAGTGCACTGGGGCCGAGCTAATGACCCTCGCAGGGGCAGAGGATATCGATCCCTAGTAGCTGCAGTCGGGGGTTTTTTAAAGGGAAAAACCAAATTGGGGAGTTAGGCAAACATCATAAAGGATGAGAAGTTAAATGATAGCTTATGTCTTAACAGGAAGGTTATCTCAAGCAAGTATTCTTTGGGCATTGTACAGTTAAACATTGAGCAGGAATGTGGTGAGCTAGTTCCTGGATCAGGGAGGGTTATCTTTTAAATTTATCTTGAGGTCTCCAGTTTCTCAGGAGAGGGCAGAAGGGCAAGTCACTCTGTGATGGGCTAGTCGCTAGGGGTCTAAAAATGTTGAGTTGGGATCTCTCATTCCCCACTTCTTTTAGTAAGCAGTTCTAATCATAGAACTGCAGAACTAAATTTCTGACTCTATATAGTATGCATTGCCCTGTTCTAGTCTCTGATACTGTTGATATAGCATAAGAATCTGTACAGCACTAACTCTTTGTCTAATAAAAGCAATTAATCTATTAATTATGCAAGGTCCTATAGTCAGCAGAAGAAGCAAGTTCAGTAAGGGACCCATCAGGGCAGAAAGCAAAGGTGTCTAAATTGGTTTAGGGGCAGGCTTTTTTCTTTTTTTGTCCTTTGTATATGTGTGGTTGAATCTTTATTTTTTTAAGCCCTGGTGTAGCTCTGTTACAGCTGTAGCAGTGGCTTTTGTAAGAGGGAAAGATCCTTTTAAAACTTTTAAACTCTAAAATTTTTTGTACTTGGTTTTGTTTTATTTTAGCTTTTCTGGCTATTAAAATATACACACGTAAATATACAATCATCTGACTCTTTGATAAGAGACTTTTTGTCTCTTATCTCTAATTATATAAATTAAAATCCTTGATTTTAACCCAAGTTCCCTGTGTCTTGAGGGGCTTACTTAAGGCCCTAGAGAAATAACTCATGTTTAGACAATGTCTGTCCCATAATAGTTGCTCGACTCATCTCAGCTGGGTAGGCTGTGGCGATTAGGAACGGAACCTCCTCTAGTCGCATGATGGGTGCCGCGGAATTTCCAAAGTAACAAGTTTCCCACTCGTCCCCTGATGAGCGTTTTGGGGTCCTTAAAGTAGGTCTGTCTCACATGCCTTTGGCTTGTGGCAATCAGGAACGGGGGTCTTCTCACGTAGCCTTATGGGCGCTGCGGAGTTCCCAAGGCTGGGGGACTGCCTTCCGAATGTGAGTAACCTTTGTCGAGATCCCATACCAGGAGCCCCAAGTTGGGCGCCACTCTGCCCTGACCAGCGGGACCAAGTCAATGTGGGCTATCCTTGGGGGGGGGAGACAAATGGGGAAGGAGACTCGGAGAATGAGAGCAACACAATAGGCTGATCAAGCTCTGTTTATTGAGAATTTCGTAGGAGCTTACATAGGGGAACATGGCATTGCATGTGGCAGAGGAATGTGGGGGGGTTGTAGACAGGAGACACTGAGGAATGAGACAGGGGCTGTCAGAAGCAGGAAACGTTTGATAAGCAATGAGCAGGAGATTTCACCAGGGAGTGCAGGTGTTAAGGAAGCTTTGTTAAGTGATGTGTTATCTCTATGGCACCAGGCTATCTGTGTGTGGGAAGGCGCCTGAGTTTTGGGAAGTGCTTTGGGCCGAGAAACAGATTTACTGTGATCAAAGAAGTTACGAGGTTAACATTAGACATAGCTTGGAATGCCCAAATAATTTTATTTTAGGTAGACTATTGCAAAGGAATGAAATACTAAGCAATTCAGAAGAGTGGGTTTTACATGTCAAAGTTGGAATTAGTTCATCAATGTACAGACTCTGAGACAGCTTTGGAAAAAGCTGCCTTTTTAATCCCAGCTGCTCTGGTTTGTTGGCTACTTGGTATCTAGAGCAGTGCTCCTTTCTAGAAAGTCCAGTCTCGGTTTCTTCCATGTAGATCTGAGAGAACTGTTACAAGATCCTGAGCCCTCTCTGCGCATCATCGCCTCCCAGGCTCTGTTCCGAATCCAGAGGGTGAGGAATGAGTCAGAATCCCAGATAAGAACTTCCTGGTTGAGGAAACTCTTTGGCTGTCTTCATACTTAGAATGCAAAACACATAGCAGCAGGTAAGAGCAAAAAAGCCCTTTCAGAAACCACAGAAGTGATAAACACATTCCATTTTCTCTCTTTTTGAAAATGTTACCATATTCCAAACGTGTCTATGAGAGTATGCATGTGTGCAGGTCAGAGGACAACTTTTGGGGTTTCTCTCTTCCATAATACACATCTCAAGGATCAAACATAGGCTGTCAGGCTTGGTAGCAAATACATTTACCCACTAAGTTGATCTTGCTGGCCTGAACTCCCCATTTTTCTTCTAGACTTAGGCAAACTAGCATGAAGCTACTTCCGTGCTGTTAGTTACCTTCAACATAATCCCTCTTAGAAAATATTTTAGTAGTTAAAATATGGAGTTAAGTTCTTGATTTAAATTTGCAGATATAGTAAAAATTGTAGTGAGTTTGAGTTATACAGATATCCACAAAGTTTAAGTGATGATGACTGTTTTAGAGAGACAGAAGGGCGGGGTGAGGAAGGAGAGAGAGACATTCCAGGTCAGGTATATGAGTCAGTAGAAGGGTGGAAATATGCATGCTCAGCATGTGAGAGGCCCTGGGTTCCACACACAAAAACACTTGGGAGGTTGAGGCAGGAGAATCAAGAATTTAAGACCTTTCTAGATTACACAATGAGTTTGAGGTCAGTCTCTACTTCATGAGAGTCTGTTATAGTCTATCAAAAACCAAGACTTATGTGCCCACCTTAGTCCCAGCACTCAGGAGGCAGAGGAAGGTAGATCACTAAAAGTTCCCTGCCAGTCAGGGCTACATAGTAGAACTCTGTATGAACACAAAACAATCCTTAAGTAAAAATAATAAAAAAGACAAAAGAAAAATTCCAAATAAATAACAGTGTTAGTATTGGTGGCTTTGTTGTCAAGGCTAAGTGAATGTCAACTATGTAAAAGATTAGAGATACCAGTCTATTTTTACATTTTCATACTTAGTATTTTATGAAATCTCATGAGGGCTTTCTCCTTTTTAGTTTTTTTTGAAGCCTGTGAGCAATAACAAAATTTTGACAGGGTATCATGCTGAGTCTATCTCAGTGTATACAAAGTCCCCACTCCTTTTCCCCTATGTTCCTAATTTCTCGAACTAATGTGCCAGGTCCTAGAAAGCTCTAAGATGGAATCTGTTCACTACCAACTGCCCGCTTTAAATATAAGTGAAGAAAATGTTCTCAGAAGATGAATTTTTCTAAGATACAGATTAGTTGAACTGGAGAGATGACTCAGGGGCTCAATTCCCAGCACCCACATGGCAGCTCACAACTGTCTGTAACTCCAAGATCTTAACACCCTCACACAGACAGACAGACATGCAAACAAAACTCCAAGGCATATAAAAAGAGACAGAAACAGATTAGTTAATGTTGAATAAATACCTTGATAACTACACATAGGGGCATACTAGAAATGAGGTACTAAGTCTACCTTTCAGGCTTTTGTTTAGTGGAGCAACCTAAGCAGAAAGCCAGAGCTGAGCTCTCCAGGACAAAAGAAACCTCTTGGGGTGATATGAAGAAAAAAAGGAAATATGACAATTGGCAGTTGAAGAGCTCCATTCCACAGTGAATTGCATTGTGTTGTTCAGTGAGCAGTCTTAATCATTATTCACCCTCTTTCCCAACTTTCATTGCTATCTCTCTGCTGAGATGTCTTTAGGAACAAATCCCTTTATGGTTCATAGAGAGTGGGATGTGGCAATATGCATCTTGTCTTGTAGCTCCAGGTTCAAAATGAAGACTTTAGTTGCCTGATGGATTCTTCAAGTATGTCCAGCCTATAGCCTGCAGGCCACAGGCATCCTAGATCACGATGTCACATTGAACATCCCTTCTTAAATTTTCACACTGAATCAGAGCCAAGAATACAGTTAAGTCACTACATGTAAGACTGCAATGAATATTAACTAACCATACATTTGAAGTACATTCACCCCTCACCATATTCACCTTAGCTCCTTTTAGGAAACCAACTCTACTATCCACTTTTAAACTAGTCTGTTTTCTAGATTATCCAATAAAAATGAATAGCAGCACATTATATAATTAACCCTTTTAATTCTTAATTCACTCCATTATTATCTTCATTCTGCAGATGGGAAACTGAGGAAACAAGCATGAAAGTGAGTTGCTCTGGGTCACACAACTAGTAAATGGCAAAGCCAGGATTACCCAAGTACTCTGATTCCTACACCCACACCCTTGGTTAGTCTGCTGTACTCTTCTCCAGTCTACTCTTTCTTGCAAATGGGAATAAACACAGATCTTCTCTACAGTTCATCTCGGTAGCTGAATTTGTGCTCCAAATAAACTTGTGCAACCAAATATGTTTTTAGTGATACTGAGCCTCCAGTGTTTTTTATCAAATTCATGGACTGGACACTTCTTTCCTAAAGTTAGCATAATGTACATTTTGATCACAGAGAATATCCAACCATCCTGTACTGTAAAGACAATGGAGTTATATAAAAACTGGTGGGTTTTTTTTTAACCCTTTTTCTCAGTCCTTGGTTTGATTTCATGCACTGTTCCATTCTCAGGGTAGAAATAGACCTGTAGGGATGAAAAGATACTCATCTTTAAATTTCCATATTTAAAAAATGAGAGAACAAGTCAGGCATGGTGTCTTATACCTATATCCCAGCACTTGAAAGGCAGAAGGGAGAGAAGTGTCACAAGTTCAAAGTTATCCTGATCTATGTAGCAAATTCCAGGCCAGGCGCAGCTATTTAGCAAGACTGTTACAGAACGAGTGAATAAATTCCCTTTTTAAATCCAAAAATGTAGGGAGATAATGATACCAGAGGCTAAGCTAAGGATGTGGTTTAGATATCTAGTGGCAAGAAAAACACTGAACTGTTTAGTGGCTGGCTGCTTTGCTTTTCTGATCTTCACATTGAGCCCCAATATCTGTCTCTGGCTTTTTATTATTCATGCTACAAAAACTAAAGAAGTTTACAAGCTAGTCCTCAGGCCTTTCTCCTGCAATTACCTTGGTGACTTCTAAAGAACTTATGGATTATATTACTGCCCAGATTTGTCATTTCAGCAATAGACTTCATAGGATTATAAAGTCTGGTCAACCAATCCATTGCATTTTATTGAAGTATTAAATGAAAAAAGGTTTTTGTTTTAAAAATAGCTTAAATAACTTTTAAGCCACAGTCCATAACTTCCACTATGGTAATCTGCTTTAGAGTTTAAATGAAGTTGTGAGGCCTTTACTTCCTGTAAGAACCCTATGTGAAACTGTACTATAGCTAAAATTGCTTGTTCCTTTGCTTGAAGGCTCATCCTACTTAAAGTCTTTTAACACCTTGGCCTAGACAGAAACCTGTTGCTGGGGTGCTGTGCAGCTGTTTCCTCTGAATTGAAGACTTCTCTCCATATATATATATTTGTGTGTGTGTTTATATGTGTGTTTCACACAGACATATATGTGCATTAAATAATTGCTAGGGAAACTCAGGCTGGCTCTGATGTCAGCTAGCTGTACAGGGAGCTCCAAGGATGTAGCTTTTGTAGGTTGTCACCCATGATGGAATGGGCTTTTGTATGATGCATCCATGCTCCTTGACTATCCATGCTCCTTCCTCTAAGTACCCCAATAAACTAACTCACACTTTCACTAAAGATGAATAAGGCTGGACTGTTTCTTAGGTGGGTTGTCATTTGCCTTTCTGGGATTTAGAGGTTTATATCTCCCTAGGAAAAAATCACTAACACAGGACTCCTCCTACATCAGCAGCGCACCCTTTCAATTAGTCCAAAGATTCCTTCCAAGTCTGTCACCTTCCAGCATGTAAGATAGCAACCTACTATCTTCAAACTTGGTAGTCTTATCCCGTCCATGAAGCCATAGTTTCAGCCAGGGAGTTTGTTCAAAACAGACTGATCATCACTAACGTTGAAATCTCTGCTTTGAATATAACATTTAGACCTTAGTGGGGCATACAAATTCCTTCATAACTTGCGTCAATATCCCCATTTTCTTCCCTAGTGACCCCTTCATCCAAACAAGGGGCACTTTGTAATTTTTCAAATATACCACACTAAGTACTGAGTGCCAAGAACTAATCCGAACTAAAGAATACTGGTCAAAAAGCACGACAATTTCAATAAGGTACAATGGAGACAATGAAATGGCTGTTGGGTGGGAGGCGTCACCTACTTACTTTTAGATGTGCTGCTCAGATATGGCCTGAGAAGGTGGCATCTGAACTTAAAGATGAAGAGCTAGGTAAGCAAAGGCATGCCCAATACCATTTCCATTTGATGAACACACAAGAAAAGCCTCCTCCTACTGAGAACTAGCTTGGTATTTTCAAAGTTAAGAATTACCTGGTGCGTCTGAATGCTATGTGTTTCTATATATTAAAGACAAAAGGCATTTCCTGAAGTATTCTGAGTGAAACTGTCCGTTTCTAATTTACGTTTTAAAATCACCTTTGAGGTTAGTGCAAAGACCATCTCTACTCCTGAAATGATTACTTACTGGCACAGTTTTAGAATCCAGGGAGTTAAGAAAGGGCGAGTCACCTAAAATCCTTGCCTCTCCATCCCTTTCTGGCGAGGCAGTAGCCTCCGACGTGGCGCTCCTACATCAAAGAGCCACTTTGGGCTGCTCCTGCCTCCATTTCATCAAGGGTCAAAGCTGAGTGTGAACGGGTTTAATGCGCGCCCGAGAGCTGGCAAAACGAGGGTGCACGGGCCACTGTCATGGAAAAGGCTTCTCACTGGGACAAACGAACACGCCACAGGTAGCCCTAAGTTACCCACACCACGGGACCCGCAGTGGAGAGCGCGGGTCGCAAGCTACAGTCCCGGCGGCCTCAGCACCGGCTCGGATCCTTCCGCCTCGCTCCCTCCGGTCCGTACCCGCCGGCCGCTGACCCGGGGCTGCCCACCAAGGGCCCGAGCTAGCTGTGCTTTAGAGTCTGAGGTCCACCTTCTTATCACATTCCCGGAGAGGGGCAAATGCGGGCTCCAGAGGAGAAAGGGACTTTTTGAGGAGAAAAGCGGAGGCAGACGATGAAGGGAGGGCGAGCTCAAGTAGGCAATTTTCGCGCGCTTTGTCGCGGGGGGTTGTGGGTAGCTCGCCGGGAGGGAAAAGAAAACCCCGAAGCCGGGTCGCGCCGCCCGTCGGGCCGGAGGGGATGTTCGAGGAAGAACCCCACGCCGAGGGGGCGGCGGTGGTCGCCGCGGCCAGGGAGGCGCTGCAGGCCCTGTGTCAGGAGCTGAACCTGGACGAGGGGAGCGCGGCCGAAGCTCTGGACGACTTCACCGCCATCCGCGGTAACTACAGCCTAGAGGTGAGCGGCGGCAGGTGGGCGGCGGCCCCGACCCTCGCCAGGCCCCACCCCCGGCCCGCCCCCGCCCCAGCCCATCGGGCGGTGGGAGTTCCCCCACCTACGAGGGTCTCTGAGGAGTGCGGGAGGGAAGGGTGGGTGTAGTTCGGACAACCCACCCGTTTGTTTTGAGGCGGGAAACCGAAGCTGAGAAAAGGAGCTCCTGCTTCTGAGTCCGCTCCGCTCCGGGGTTCCCTAGACACCAGACTTCCAAACTTGATCTCTGCGCACCGCTCAGCGCCCCAAAAGGCACGGTGCTGCCGTTAAATCGATCAGACCTGATCCTATGGTAAAATGAGTTGCTCATCTCTGCTCAGCCCTTTGATTTTGTCTTCCCCACTCCTCTGAAACACTTTTTGGATCCCCGCTCCGCAGAAGAGAAAGCGGGGTCATGCGAGGTTAATTTGACACCCAAGGTGGCACGGTTTGTGGTGCAACCTGGATCAGCTGATGAGCCATTTAACCTCGCACCCTTCCTTCTGCCTCACAGGGTGCGGCACTGAGTTCATATACACCACTGTAGTTTGATCAAAGTCAGCACACACAAAGCTCTTCTCAGCCCCACGTTCCTCTCCGCTAGGTCATTACCGTGGTCTGGCTGTGAATAAATTAAATGGTCGTTATCACTATTAGGTTTCGCAGTGACGTTTATATTTGTCTTCCCGGCAGGTTAGTGACTACCTGTTTTCTTGCAGTTACCATCTCCCAGGATTGTTTTGCCTACAGTCAATCAGATATTGAAACTTGCATAGGTATATAAGCTTAGTGTAGAAGTATAATTGTGATGGCTTGTACAAGTGGAATTCACGTGGGGGGGGGTCAGCAGATCAAAAGTATTTGGGGAAATTTGCATTTGTCCTGAACATGAACAGAATTGTCATTCCACAAACAATATAGTATGATCATCAAGTAATCTAGATGATCATTGCCATTTTAAATCCGGGACTTGAACATCCTTGGATTTTGGTATCTTCTGGGGTGCTAGGATGGGATGTTACAAAAGCTTTCATTATGCACATGGGCTGGATTCACATATAGACTGTTCCTCTGACTCACCTGCCAGTGAAATAATTGCTGGACTCAAAGGCATGGATTTGGAAGTAGGAGTTGACTATTGTCTATTCATATGAGAGAAAAGTACTGGAGATAACCTTTCATGTTTCCAGGAAAAGGCAGAGTAGACTCAATTAAAAAAAAAAAAAGATAGTCATCTTCGGGGCTGGAGAGATGGCTCAATGGTTAAGAACATTAGCTGGTCTTCCAAAGATCCTGAGTTCAAGTCCCAGCAACCACATGATGGCTCACAACCATCTGTGATGAGATCTGGTGCCCTCTTGTGGACTGCAGGGATACATGCAGACAGAACACGGTATACATATCTGGAAAAGAGAGAGACTATGAAAGTAAAGGAGAGCTCAGTGGATAAAGGATTCCCAAGCAGCCACAGGTGCAGTGGCAGTCTTGTCTGTAACCCCGGGTTACAGGTTGCGAAGGATGCAGTGGTGGAGACAGGCCATCCCAAGTCCTGGCCGTGGCCTGCCGGTCTAGCCGAAGCACAAAGCTCCAGGTTCAGTGAGCTGTTGTCTCAAAAGATTGAGGTTGAGAGTGATAGATGAAGACACCCAACATTTATCTCTGACCTTCACTCGTGACTACATGAGTGGGTGAACACATTTACACACATGTACATATAGGCAGACACACATACATTATACAAAAAAGTAAGGGAAATTTTAATGACATCTCAGTTGAAAATGGTTTTTGACATCCCGAGAAAGCATTATAATCTCCCAGGCCTTCATTTAAATAAACATTTTAAGTACAATCTGTGGCCAAGTCACTCACACTGGGCACTTGTTTCAGATTCCTAAGTATGCTAAACTCAGTCCAGAGAAGGTTGATGATCTAAATTCTAACCTTAGCTAGGCAGAGTTGATTGGCACCTTAAATGTTTGCTTTAGAAAGCATGGTTGTGGGTTGGAGAGATGACTCAGGGATCAAGAGCACTGTCTTTTACTCCAGAGGTACTGAGTTGAATTCCCAGCAACCATATAGTGGCTCTCTATAATGAATTGAGTTTGGAAGTATTCTGTCTGGTGTGGGGTTTTTTTCTTTTCCTTTTAGCTGTTGGTGAAAGCTGCTTGGAGAACAGGTATCCCCCTGTCTTTGCTGCCCCTAAGAGCCCTTTGTGCAGTCTCTACCTGGCCTAATGCACCACACAAGCCCCCGCTGGCATGCTCCCTTTACTCCCCTGACTCACGTTTTTCAGTAGTTTGCTACTGAGCACTTTTAAAACTTCCTTTGTGAAGTTTTTGTTGACTTCCAGTCAAAGTCAGTTACTACACTGTATTTTTCCACACTTTCTCTTCAGTTCTTATAACCTATATTCTTATCAATTATGGAAAATAATTTCTATTACTATTTATTAACTTTAGATTTGGAGATTAAGAACCATCTTTTATTTTGTTTTGTTGTTTTAACTATTCTACCACTGAGATACCTGTCCAACCCTTTCACAGACAAATTTAAGATTTTAATTTATAATGGGGGTGGTATGTGCCATGGCTCCTGTGTAGAGGTTGGAGGACAACTTGTGTTGGGTCAGTTTTCTCCTTCCACATTTTCATGGGTTCCAGGAATCAAATGGAGATCTCCAGGCCTACACAGTAAGTGCCATCTCTCTGGTCCTCTATCTGTAATTCTTTCTAGTAGTACCATTTTTTTTAGACTATAATATAATTATATCATTCTCCCTGTCCCTCCAGCCCCTCCCCTTTATGTTCCTCCCCTTTATGCTCTCTCTCAAATTCATAGTTTTTTTCTTTAATTGTTCCGTGTGTGTTTGTCTATATGTGTATTTCTAAATATAAGTATAATCTGCTCAGTCTGCATGGTCATGTTTTCTAGGCTGAACCAATTGGTGAGCTGTTTTTCCCTCTGTCAGTGTGCCTCTGTTGCCTGTAGTTCTTTGTCCAGGTTCTTCCTTCCATGTTAGCATGCCTGTTGGTGTCATGCTTGTTCAGGTCTTGTTTATACAGACATGTTAGTGTTTGCATCTGTAATTTTTTTTCTCTGTGTAGTCCTGACTGTCCTGGAACTTGCTCTGTAGACCAGGCTGGCCTCCAACTCAGAGATCCAAATGCCTCTGCCTCCCAAGTGCTAGGATTAAAGGCTTCTGCTGCCGCTGCCCAGCCTGTATCTGTAATTCTTAATCCTCAGACTTCAACTGTATTCCACCCAGTAATGAGGTATTTCCAGCTTGAAAACATTTGAAGTCAAGAGCAGAAAATTAAGTGTTGAATTACCAATCATTGCTTTTTTTATAGCTTGTAAACTGAGATATCTATGGTGGTGGAAAACTATGCTTAATATTTTAAAGATAACTTACTATGGGATAAATAATGACCCAGATCTTTACCTCACAAAATGACATTTTCCTTCATATTGTGGGTATTGATATTATATATCAATATATTGATATTTTTACATGTGACTCCCTTGAAAACTTTCTACTCTGTATTTTTCTTTTCTTTGCCAAATTGCTTTTAATCCCAGCACTTAGGAAGTAGAGGCAGGCAGAAGTAGAAGCAGGCGAACCTCTGTGAGTTCAAGGCCAGCCTGGTCTATAGAGCGAGTTCCAAAACAGCCAAGGACACACCAAACTCTCTCAGGGAGAGAGAGAGAAAGAGAGATACAAAGAGATTTTAGTACAATTCTTTCAGTAAGGATAAACTTGGAATCAAGTAAGAGATCTTTTTGTAGATTTAGAAATTTAGGAAATTTTCCATGTTCTGGTTCTAAGAACAGGGAAGAGGATAATGTGGAAATCTGTACTGATTTGGGACTGTATTAGCCTTATTTCTTCAGGGCTTAGACAGATGAAATTATAAGGCCTTTTCCATATAATCTTTTTAAGGTATCTCTGTATTTTTCTTGTGTCTGCTTGCAGGGAGAAGTCATACACTGGCTGGCATGTTCTTTATACGTTGCTTGTCGCAAGAGCATCATTCCTACAGTGGGAAAGGGTGTCATGGAAGGAAACTGTGTTTCACTGACCAGAATACTACGCTCAGCTAAGTTAAGGTAACACATTACAAGTGCTAAATTTGGGCTAGAGACGTGGCTCAGTGGGTAGAGTATCTGTTATACAAGCATGAGTATTGGGTTCTTGTGCTCTGGAGCTTCAGGGCTGGGGAACAAGGCAGGCCAGTCCAATCAAAGTGGTAGCTCCACCTCAAAAATTAAGGTGGAGGTTCTGGAGAGATGACCCAGTGTTTAAGAGGGTTTCCTGTTTTCCCAGAGAACCTGAATTTGGTTCCCAACATCCAAATCGGCGCTCCTAACTCCCTGGAACTATACTTCAAAGGGTTTTGACACCTCCTTCTTGCCTTCTCAGGCACCTGCTTAGACATGTCATGTATGCACACTCACATGCACACACACATACGAACACAGAAAGATAAATTTAAAAATAAATTCAAGTGGAAAAGT